GAAGCAAAGAAACGGCGTTCATTCTTTTCGGGTCCTTGTTGGCAGCAGCTGGGAGGCACTGGGTGTAGGTCATGTCCCTTTTTAGAAGTGGTGGAGCAAGGCTACTGGGGATTGCAACGGCTTGGTCTTGCTCCAGTGGTTTGGCCAGGGACTGATTCCCGTTTCCCCCAAGGATGCCTCTCATTAGCATGAACAGGGGGAAGGGCCAAGAGAGAGAGAGAGAGTGAGAGAGAAAGTGAGAGAGAGAGAGACTCTGGATCACTTTTAGTTTGGGAGAACATTTCCTTTGCAATGGCATCCAAAGCGCTCTGGCTCCTCTGCTTCACCTTGGGCTCCTCCTTCAGCTCGGGGACAGGTAGGTTTGCCCGCATGCGAAGGTAGGAGAGCAAGGCACTGGGCTGAGCCGGAGCTGACAGCTCCCCCCCCCCCCCCCGCTGCCAAACTTTTGCCTTCGCCAGCTGCAGCAGTTCCCCCGAGCGGCTGAAGAAACTCCCCAGCAGCCCGGGAGGGAACATTTGCGCTTGCCTATCTGTCAGCCCAGATGCAGGAACGGAGCGGGTAGGTTTGCCTTGCAGACATTGACAAAAGCAGCCATCTGCAGATGCTGCGCCTCCGGCTACCCTATTTCTTCGCGCCCCCCCCCCCCCAGCCGCTTCTCGCCCCCACCTCTCGCCACGCGCTCTCCCGATCTCCTCCTTGCTTTTTCAGATCTGAGGGATATTTCAGGGGTGAGCTGCCTCCGAACTGACACCTGTTCTCTAGGGAATGGAAATAACCGGATACTGCAGGGAATGTGTGTGTGGGGAGAGCAAGTCCGAAAAAAATCAGCGCCTCCCTTCCTCTATTTACATATACACATATATAAACTTTGCTTCGATGGCTCTTCAACGGTGTCAGAATTAGACAGAGAAAGTATCGCGGTCTCTAGCAGATTGCTGGCGGTCATGCATTTTGGGGAGCAAGCAGAAAACAGAGAAAGTGCAAGATGGTTTGCAGTTGACTCCTGTCAGCCTTTCCGGGGCAGCAACAAGTCTTTTCTCAGTCCTGCAAAACTGGCGAAGAGCTAAAGTGATCAGCCCTAAACTCCGGGATAGGGCAGGCACCAAGAGAAAGGAAAGCTCATGCTCATGGGGCAGCATATAAGTTGTTTAAATAAACAAATAAATAAAGCTAGAATTGACAAAGGACTTGCTTGATACCTTTCAACCCTCAAGCTTGTTTGTTTCAGCGGTCAAGATTCCCACTGGGGCTTTAAATTCTACATTACTATTGTTAAGCAATGTGACCAAATTTCATCAGGATTTTTGTTTTGAGAGAGCCTGGGAGGAAGAGGAATCTGTCAAACTAGATAAACTAGGTTGAAAACTTTTCACCACATCTATCTGATTAAGGTCGCCATCCTATGCATTCCTCCTCGGGCTGAACTTAATGGGACATACTTCTGAGTCAACATCCATTAGACTTACACATGTACTCAAAAGTAAGCCCCACTGAGTTTACTGGGGCCCAATAGGAGTGCACTGACTGGACTGCAGGTCCCCCAGATGTATTTTAGCAAATGATTCTTTTCCAAGCACCCAGAATTCACCTGCTCCACATATTGTTCCTGTTCTACATGTTGAGAAGGACTCTATTTATTGAACTGTGTTGATAGTGTTCCCTGCTAGTACTGGGAACTTATCACATTTTTATGTAGTAGCTACAGCAGGAAATCTAGAATTGCCCTGTTCCTACCCCCAGGGCCAGTTCTGTAAGTAAAACAGAACAATTATTATTTTGGTGATGCTTGGAGATCTAGTATAAAAGCAGGGTGAGTCTTTTCCTTTCCTCTTGATTGGAAGTAATTAGCTACAGTGAATTAGATAAAGTGACCCTTTGCAGAAGCAGGGAATACTTGCCATTAGAAATATCCCACATTTTGTAGTGTCACTGATCGATCCTTTATCCCATCTTTCCTCCACGGACTGCAGAGAAACAGAGCCCTCCCAACCTTTTTCCTCTCATAAGAACCCTGTTGGGTAGGCTAGCTTGAGTGATCGTGACTGGGCCAAAGTCACTCAGTAAGTTCTGAGAAAGAGCTCAGATCTGCCCCAGTTTAAGGCCCTGACCACTGCAGCACGGCCTGCTGGCTTTCTCTCCTGGGCCAGACCTAACCTTCCTTACAGAACACCTGGAATGAAGCCATGCAGCCCTGAATTTTCCCTTTTTAAAAACAAGCTCTCAACCCTCATCTTCTATGTATATATAGGAAGAGTCTCTAGAGTAAACAAGGCAGCTGAAAACGTGTGGACAGGCACCTTCTCTCACGTAACATTAAGATAAAGGGAGTGCCATTTGATGGAGACATAAACATTACCTGAGAATGCGTCTTACTGAATAGCATGACGGAAGTGATGGCCTCAGACAAAACAAGAAATGAAGGGTCTGCTTAGTCAAGGAGGAATAATAGGGGCCGGGACAGATGGAGGGTGTTTGGGTGGAAAGGCGGCCACTGGTCCTGTGGTCTCAGTTTCTTCACATGGATTTTTCTCCCTTCATGGCAATGTTCTGCTTTCACAGACAGTATCAGGCAATCTTTACTCTCACCAGCTGTTGTCATGGGAAAGAGGCAAGTAAATGGTGAAGTCAACAGGCAGGAAACTTTAGCGTTGGAGCCAAACCAGCCGTCAGAATCAACAGGGAGGACTGTAAACCAACCATGTAGGGTTTGTTTGCATATGCATCTACAAACCAATTTTTAAAAAATACTCTGTATGTTGACAATTTAAATCAAAGATGGGAAAGAAGGGTTGGAATAATAGAACGCTCTCCACAAATGGTCCTCCCTGAGAAAAGTTCAGACCCACCGTAATGAAGATGTGAACTAGGTCAGGAAAGTTGCTTGCTTTTTATAAACAGTCTGCAGGAATAACAAAATGCAACTGAGCAGTTCATTGTGATTTTTTAGCTTTCATTTGTAAAGGGTAAGTCACTCATAGGCTTTCCTGCTTGCCACCTTTATTGCAATAATAATAATAATAATAATAATAATAATAATAATTTTACATACTTTATAATGATGCTTTAAAAAAAAAGCCCCACCACCAATAACTTGTCTAGAAGGAAAGTTTAGTTAAATCTAATGCTCATGAAATAATTTGAGTTCACAGAATATAGCATTCCTAGACAGACAGTCAGTTTGAAGGGGAAAATACTGCAGAGAGAGGCCAGCTTCAGAGTTTGAGTTAAATGTTATTTACAAGATGAAAAAAAAGAATATCTAGAATATATTGTGATTTTGGAAACCAAAAATCCTAATATGTCTACTACAAGTTAATCAGAAATACCTTTTGAAATATTTTTTCTCAGAAATCAGTCATAGTCATGGGGCATCTGAGTAAACATGATTTAAAATCAAGGTAATAAAAGGTAATGAGCTTTACATTTCTTTATAGGGCTCTCAAGGCAACTGGCTTGTATATTTGAAGATCTAACTCCCGGGCTAAAGAAAAATAGGGGTGGGGACAGCTCAATACTCTGAGCCAGTGGCAGGTCTTAAGCGGGACAGATGACACTGTCAACAAGCCTTCCTGTGCATGGGAAAACCAAATAGCCATATTTGTTAGAGACTTTTAAACAATCAGACCAGGATGCATTGTGAACCCTGCTTCCCGGATGCTCCCTGGACATGAGGAATGCTTTTCTTAGAGAGAGGTCTGTTTATAAATTGTGCTCTTAATTTGTAACAAAAACAGAAAAAACGCTCAACCTCCATGCTTCCGCTTGCCCGCTGCTGGGCTGCTTTTCTTTTTGGGAAACATTGTGCTCCCAGGGCTTACATGCCAGATGCTGCAGCAGTCCAATCTAATGGTCATACTGGTGGAGGAAGATAGTGGGTGTAGCCCAGCCCATCAGGAGATGACAGATTAGGGAATGCCCTAAAATAATGGTGGAATGTACCCTATTGCAGTTGCTTAAGCCTAAGAGTTGCTGCACTTACATTCCTTGTTAAGGCTGAGATCCCAGATCCAGATGCTGGTCCAAAGCCATATTGCTATGGAGGACAAGGATTACTAGTCCTGGTTACTAGTCCTGAAGGCAAATGTTACCTCCAGTTGCACGGTTCCATGCTTCTGTATGCCAGTTGCTGGGGGAAATGCCTGGGAGGTCACCACTGCATTCATGTCCTATTGGTGGGCTTCCCACAGGAGCCTCTGGTTGATGAATGGAAGGAGAGAAAGGTGAGCTAGATAGTCCTTTGGTCAGATCCAGCAGCACTCTTCCAATGTTCACCTGGTGGGGTTGCTGAGACCCAACCCAGCTCCAGTGGAACAACAGCAGATGCCGCTGAGTGATGACCCCGAACTAACTGTAAGGAGGTTCAAGGGATAGGAAGAGACGGGTCTGTACTAATTCACTTGCATGGCATTTGTAGAATCTTTCATGTTCATCAGAGGCACAGAACCCAGCAGAGCAGTTATGCTGTGTGCATTTATTGCCCACTCTAAACCAAAAGGCTTGGCAGTTAACACAAGAAAGAGAGCGAGTCTCCTGCACAGTTAAACGATCCCGTCTTCCAGCAGGTTAACCTTGAGCTCCAAAAGCAAGCCTATTGAGCCTCAGTTAAGACTTCAAGGGAGAGGTCCGAGAGGAACGGCCTATGTTAGGGGATAGCGCCCTGGGCCCCTGGCTTGGATGACTGCACCCAGATCTTAATGTCTCGCTGTTTCTTCTTTGAATGCAGGGCCGCTGCCATATGCCAGAAAGCCTGCTCAGCCATTCAGCAAGGATGCGTATGGGTCACTGGGCTCAACACCTAGCCAGAGCAAGCCTCTGCTAAGGGGAAGCAGCATTGCCAGGGATGCTCACCTCGAGGAGCACCCTCTGCCTCCAGGTGGCCTGCAAAAGGGGAAGGCAGGGCGTGTGCACCTGCTGTCCTTGGGGAAAAAGGGCAAGATCAAAAGTGAGGTGGAGAACCACACGGGTTTGCGGAAGCTGCCTGCTCAGCATGTGCCAGGCCTTCCCTCAGAGAGCCATGAGGAGCAGATTCTCCCTGCTGCCTACTTCCATCAAACCAACCGAATGCACCCAGACAGGCTTCAGCTGGAAGCAGCCAATACCATCTCAGCCTATCTCCATCCACCCGTGTATTCCCATCATCAAGGCAGATCGATGGCCGAATCACAGACTTTCAGAAACACTGGGCTGAGCACTGGGCCACGCTCTGGCAAGATGGATCACCTCAACCGGCCTGGCTGGATCACTTCTCCCCACCAGCTGAGCAACTCCCTCAGAAACATCACTAGACCCTCCTGGCTCACGAACCGACAGACATCGAGCCTACTGCATCACTTGGGCATCTCAAAAAACGGTGAGCATCCTTAAAAGTAGAATCCCGCTTCCTGCATTCATAGTGACAGCACCAGCAGGCACGATTGATCGGGAAGCAAAGAAGTGATGGATGATTTCAGGCAGCAATACGCCGTGCAGGTAGGGAGCCTCACTGGACCCCCTGGGACTTACTTCCAAGTATCATAGCACAGGAACAGGGTATTAAATGGAGATGGAGAAGGAGCTCATTAGTCATCCTCTCACATAATCAAGTTCATGAGATTCCCAATTAATCCATGTGATAATAATGCCTACATTCCTTCTGTGGCCTCAATGTGGTATTTATCGTTGCTGTGTGGTGGCATTCACGAGATTTCAGTGACCTCGCCACCTTAAAATAAGGCTGCATTCTGGCCCCAAACACCTTACACAGTCAATGAATCACCACTGAGCACTTCTGCCATAACCACAACAGATGGTTTTTCTTCTAGAAGTGTGCTGTTCCCTCCACACAGGAAGCCAATGCTTTGGGCGCATCTAAAGTATAATGGAAGACACAGGGGAAATATTCAGTGGGACTTTTATGGTTCTTCCTCTAAAGCTGAAGTAGGGAACCTGTGGCCTTCCAGATGTTGATGGACTGCAATTCCCATCAAGGATAAGTGATGATGGGGGTTGTACTCCAGCATCTGGAGGGCCCTGCTTTTCCCATCCCTGGGTCAGAATGTACCAAACAGAACTTGAATGCACATGGAGTTCATACACATGTTCAGGGCTCAGCCATCTAAACAGGAGAAAACCATAATGCATAGAGCAAGGTAAATTCTAATGACTACCACAGACCCATTGATAAAATGTGCTGATGCTAATAAATAAATAAATAAACCACACTGTCCTGTTGTGAACAGAAGAAACTTGTCCTGTGCAATTTGGCTAGGGCTATTCAAGGGAGCATCTTGGCCTACGGACTTGAGCCAGCCTTCAGCAGTGAGGGGAGGAACAATGGTAGAGACGTGTTCTCCCCTGCAGAGGAGGACAGGACTGGCCCAGGGAGCCACGGTTCCATTTAGATGCCAGGAAGCACTTCCTGACAGTCAGGACCCCGAGGGTGTGGAAGGGGCTTCCACGGGAGGTGGTTGAGGCCCCATCGGTGCGGGTGTTCAAGGATAGGCTAGACATGCACATGGTGGGCATGTTGTGAGCGGACCCAGCTGGAGCGGGGGTCAGACTAGATGGCCCAGGAGACCCCTTCTGACTCGCAAAAAAAAGAAAAGAAGAAAATGTCTGGCCTGACAGGCCTCCTGCTTGCCTGCACTGCATGCTTGCTCCCTCTTGGTGCATTGCCAGAGTTGGTGTGGGAGGAGGCTGGGTGGGCCGGCCCTTAGTGGGAAGGTGCCACTTCCTCAAGAGAACCTGGCTTGGGGGGTTGCTGCATCTGGCTTGGCAGGGTGAGGCTCTTTGGCTCAGAGGCCCGTGACTCTTGGTTCATACCTCAGGGTCACTTCCTGGCTTTGGTGCTTCTGCAGCTTGTACCAGTGGCCTCCCCACTGACTGTGCCAGAGCCTGTCACTTAACACGGGGCTTGTGAGTGTGGAGGGCAAAATCAGCCTGCTTTATCCAACGAATGGTCCTGAGCAGGATGAAGGAGGAAGCACATCTGGTGCCAAAGCACATCTGGTGCCAAACCTGTGTGCCTTTCCTTCAACTAGTCGAATGGAGGTTGATCACAGCACCATCTGCATCTGCACTGAGATGCTGTTAGTGGGAGACTCTTCTGACCAGATGGAGGAAATTCAGCCTGTTTTGGATGGAGTCACAGTCCCCCTGAAGGAGCAGGTTCATAGCCTGAGGTCTGCTTGGAGTCTTCTTGGTCATTTGAGGCTATCTACCAACTGGTGGCCCAGCTCTGCCTCTATACAGGCAGGCATCATCTAGTTTCAGCAATCTGTGTTCTGGTAATCTTGAAACTAGGGGCTGCCCTTAAAGACTGTTCAGAAACTGTAGCTTGCGCATACTGTGGCAGACCGGTTAGTAACAGGGACCAGAAGGTCCAAACATAACCCCAAATTTGGCCACTTGCCTCGGCTGCCTGTATGCTCTTGAGCCTAAGCCAATGTTCCTCTTTTAACTTATAAAGCCTGACATGGCTTACGTAGGACCACAATAGCTGCCAGAGCATCTCTCCCAGCCACAAACTACCATCGACTACGATCAAGATTGTAGTTGGTGGCAACAAATAAAAGGGCTTTTCAGTGGCAGCGCTCCAGTTCAGGAACAAGCACCCCATGGAGGACTGCCTGGCACCAACCTTGATATCTTTTTGGTGCCAAGTTAAAAATGTTCTCCATGACAGGAGAGTTGATTAGCTTTCTATTACATTGAGGCATTATGCCAAGAGCTTAACAGGTCTTGTGACCTAATTTGAGTTTGCTTTTGTACCTTTTTACTTTTAGTTTGAAGTCCAGCTTTGATTTGGGACCCGCATCTGCAGTACTTGGTGGAACTGAAAACTCTTATAGTTCCCATCCTTCAGGTGTTCAAGGAACTTTATACTCCATGCACATGCTAAACGAAGAGAAGTCCCTTAAATGAAAACACCACCAGAGCAAATCAGTGGTGTGAGAGCCAGTGTGGTGTAGTGGTTAAGAGCATGGGACTGGGACTCAGACGATCTGGGTTCTATTCCTGGCTCAGCCATGGAGCCAGCTGGGTGACAATGGGCCAGTCACAGACTCTCAGCCCAACCTACCTCACAGGGTTGTTGTGGGGATAAGATGGAGGAGGAGATGTAAGCTGCCTTGAGCCCTTTGTAGGAAAAAGGCAGGATATAAATTGAAAAAAATAAAAACTAAATAAAATAAATATAATGCAAAAACCAAAACTGCAGAAATACAGACAGACAATAATTACTGATCAACCAATGAAGATCATTATTTTAAGTAATGATATACTGCACACACATACCCATGTGCAATATTCATAGCAGTGCTCTGAAAAATGCAGTATGTGACAGAAGCAACACGTCTGTGTAGCATACAAAGTCTCTACTTAATAACCCTAAAATATTATAGAGGAAGTGACTCTTTTCAACAATACTGAATAATAGTAGGTCATCTTAAATGGTACCTTTAATTAACAATGCATTGTGTTGCCATACACTGTGCAAAATATTAACCCGAACTCTGAAATGTAATTTCTGCTCTGTTCTTGTTCAGAACGATAAACTCCATATTTCATTTGCATTACTGGTTGCAGATGGCAGCCAAATTTCTTCCTCCCCATTAACATGCTCTATCTAACAAACAAAATTTAGGTACTTCTTAGAAGGATTTACAGAGGGGCAGCCTGCCTGCCTATAGCCACACACTCAGCCTGTAAAAAGAACTTTGTTTTGAATCAAAAATATTTCCTTTCCAAAACAGTGTTCAGTAAACCTATTGTTTACTGAACACTGTGGGATTGTTTATAGGATGGGATTGTTTATAGGATGAAAATGGAAGGCATCTACCACAGTGGATCCAGCTGCCTTCAGGGGTGCAGAAATCTATGCACAACAGCTTCACATCCAGAGAAATAAACCATGGCCCTCCAGTTGTGGAATAACATGCCCAGGATCCTTAACATGTGAACCCATCAAAACAACTGGCAGGAGAAAATAACCCCCATACTGTGTAGTAGTTCTAACAAGGAGTCTAATCTGGGAGCATTTGGCTTCTTTGGGCATGGAAAGCCCTCTTGGCGGACTTTAGAAAGCATAAGACGTGGTGGTCCTTGATGAGAGATGCAGCTGCACTAGCATCCATGTAGCCCATTCTGGAGGCCAACTCCAGAATTTTTCCAGCCTTAATGTAAAATGGGACACCACTGGTTGGATCGTGAGAAAGGTATACACCTAATTCTTTGGCCTGGAATCCTAACAGCAAAATCCATCCAGCTGATAAGTTTAGAATCCAAGTGTTGTTGTTAGCTGCGAAGTCGCGTCTGACCCATTGTGACCCCATGGAACACATTCCTCCAGGCCTTCCTGTCCTCCACCATCCCCCGGAGTCCACTTAAGCTCACACCGACTGCTTCAGTGACTCCAAAAATCCAAGTAGTCATAGACAAAAACATTTACTGCCAAAAAGTATAACATCAGCTTGGTGATTCTACCAGTTATATGCCCTTTAATGAAGGTCCCACTAATGACATTCCATTTTTCATGAAAACTGTAGAAGCATTTGCTTTGGGCTACATAGATGACAGTACAGCTACATTTCTCACGAAGACTTTGGAGTAGTTGTGGACAACAAGCTAAACACGAGCCAGCAATGTGATGTAGCTGCAAAAAGGGCAAATGCTACCTTGGGATGCATAAACAGAAGCATCACCTCCAGAGCAAGAGAGGTACTTGTTCCCCTTTACTCAGCACTTGTCAGACCTCACCTGAAACACTGAGTTCAGTTTTGGGCACCCTGGTTTTTAAAAAGATGCAGAAAACTAGAAAGGGTTCAGAGTAAGGCAACAAAAATGATCCAAGGTCTGGAAACTATGCCCTATGATGAGAGGCTGCGTGAGCTGTGCCTATTCAGGTTCAAAAAGAGACAACTGCAAGGGGAGATGATAGCACTCTGCAAAATACCACAGAAGCTGCCACAAAGAGGAAGAAGACTCTGCGTATAGGTCACGGAGCAATGGGCTCAGTCTAGAGCACACCGAAATTCAGGCTGGACACCAGGAAAAGCTTCCTCACTGTCAGAGCCATCTGAGAATGGAACCCGCTGCCTAGAGAGGTGGTGGGCTCTCCCACACTAGAGACATTCAAGGCAAAACTAGACAGTCATCTGAGTGGGGTGGTATAAATTGGTGTCCTGCTCCAGCAGGGGGTTGGACCTGATGGACTCCTTGGCCCCTTCTGGTCCTACTCTTCCCTGAATCTATGAATCTATAAGACAACAGAGAAAAATCTAAGCAGCTCTTACGTCAAGTGGGCAGGGCCATTTTTCATGCTCCTGCCCTCACAACTTGCTTTGTGTATTAGGGAGAGCATGCCAATTGGGACTAACAACTGTGGCTGCCTTCTGCAACAGACAATGAAAATGAAATAATGGGTTTGTCATGCAAAGGATGAAATTACATTCTCGATTTTTGGTTATGATTTTGCACAGTGTGTGACAACGTAAGGGATTGTTAATTAATTACACTATGGGCAATTTAAGGCAACTTACTATTGTTCAGTACTGTTGAACACAAACCCTTTTTCTAGTCTTTGTATTAACGGCCCACCTTTAGTATTGTGAAAGAGATGCTACATATCCTATACTGTCCTGCAGCTCATATTGCATATTATATATAACATAATCATACTGCATATTATATAAGTGCCTGAGTAGATGGGCGTGTGGCCCACTATATATGTACTGGAAGGAAAGGTCTTCCTCATTGGATGCTGAATTAGACTCTGTTTGTACACTTGGTGTTCACCTAGCGCCATGTTTGGGGGTCCATTGATTACTTCCAGTCATCTCCGCCTTGCCTAGCATGGCCACTTGACTAGCGGGAGCTTTCCAGAGTCTCATGCAGGAATCCTGCCAGCCCTGCCTGGGAATGCAACCTTGCAGGTGCAAAGCACGTCCTCTGGCACGGACTGCAGTCCCTCCCCAGAGCCTTGACAGGTTGTGGCAACGTGGGAACCCCTGGACCAGGGTTGGTGCAGGGGTCGGCTTTATGGACTGGGGCTTAACTCCTTCCCTCCCCCTTCCTTCTGCAACCTTTTCCTTGCAAATCGTCTCTGTGGGGCTGGGGGCTGCTTCAGAATAGTGCAGTTTACTGTGCAAAGGGCTGCAGATGGAGGAGGGAAGTTGGTGGGAATGACCCCCCCCCCCCAAATTAGACGATTGGACAAGCAACTTAGGATACAAGTCCACAGTGGTTACTTAATGTGCAAACTGAACACATACGTAGTTGGGATAATTTATTGAAGACAACATAGGAACCTGTTTGGCTTTCAGTGTTAGACTGCTGGCCTGCCTTTCAAGAGTTGTTGAATATTTTTTGGTAATGTTGTTCTTTTGAGAATCATGATCTGGAGAGTTGCTAGCTTCCTCAATCAAAATTGAGGCAGTTCAAATAATTGTCGCTTTGGAGCAGCCTACCTTAGCCTGCACCCTCCAAATGTTTTGGACAACTCCTGGTATTCCTAAGCATTGGCCAGTCCAAGTCCAAAACTTCTGGGCCATTTAGCAGAGGTTTTGTAAAATGAAGAAGTGCTAGCAAATCTTAGACTTCCTTCCAGGCTGCCTGTTTCTGCACCCAAACTTCCCTACTACACAAAATCTTTGCAAGCCATAAAATACATGGAGGAACAATGAATGATAGGATCTGGAATTCTGTCGGGTAGCAGCCTCTGGAATTCTGGATCTGGAATTCTGCTTAACAACTCATGTGTGCTATGGTAGATCTGATGAACAGAACAAAAGGGTGGAGAAAAGGGTTTTAAAATGAAGACACAATTGCAGAGAGAGACGCTGCCTGAGCATTAAGGGAGACCAGCCTGCTTTCTGGGGAGGAAGCCCTGTGACACTCAACTAAACTTGCTGCTGACTAGGCATGTGTACGGCTGCACCACAGTTGTCTTCGGAGAGCCACACACTGGCAGTTCTACCCTGCGAGTGCTGTCATGGCCGAGCTAGTCCCCACCAGGGCTGTTTTCTGGTTGAGGCTGCACGACCGTGACTTCCAGCCCTTGGTTCTTGTTCTAGATGCCGACAGTGCTGAGGTGTGCCTGACGGATTGCAGGCGGGAGCCTGAGGAAGGGGAGGCCTACTGTAGCAGTGACTTCGGTAAGATCAACCCCCTCCCACTCAGCTGCTTCAGGCACCGGTCATGTCGAGTGCATGCTCGTGTTACTGGCACACACCATTCCTTCTCCAAGGTGGGGGCAGTCTTGGCACTTGCTTCCCAGCACCCTCCCAAAGAATTTGCTTGGCCCGGAGAGAGAAATATCTGCCTTCCCAGAGGCGGGGCTAGAGCCAGCTTCCAAGCTACTTAACTTCATTTCATCTGATGTTGATGTGAACTTCAGTGGAATGATATGCCTTGATTTATTCTTGCCAAAATTATGTTCCTGTGAACCATCCTGAGAGCTAAAATGCCAAGCAGAAAGAGAGCGTTTTGCAAGGTCCCAAGGCAGCTTGTCTGTTGCCTACAAATGCGGTTCCTTTACACAAGCGGTGTGGATCCAGAGACTGAACTACAAGTCCATCATTCCTGACAACTAACACATTGACGGGGCTGATAAGAGTTGGGAATCCTGCAACTTCTGGAGGACTTCAGGCTCCCCACTCCTACTAGCCAGGGCTAATAGGCTTATTTATTTCAGAGATGTATGAACTGCCTTTAAGTTAAACCCTCTGAAAATGCACACAGCATTTAAAACCACAAAATCTAGGAAAAGATGCTAAATAATTAAAAATAATAAAGCCAAGGTAATTAAAACAAGATAGCACCATCTGTACAACAGCAGCCAATTAAGTCCTTACTCAGTTATAGGCCAAGCTAAAAGGCAAATCTTGAGGGTCTAAGTAGAAGGCCTGTAATAATGAGAACTGAAAGATATCAGCTGAAATAAAATCTCACAACTGGCGGGTGGATTCTGCCAAGAAGGCCCTGGTAGGAATTTGAGTTCAACAACGTCTGGAGGGCCGTGGAGTCCCCACCCCTCCACTTTATGTCTATTCCATTTGGGCACCCGTGACCTTTTCAGAAAGGAATTTTTTTGGCCATTTTGCATAACAGTGGCTTCGCAGCAGATTTCTGGCATTTGAGTGGCCATGAGCTCCCTCAGGTATATCAGAAACACATTTTTAAAGCTACAAATTACCACTGGTAATTTTGTTACATTCAGTTGCACTCTCACAATTTGTTAAAAATAGGTCTCTGTGAACTATCAGGACAGAATGAACATAAATGTAAATGTGTCACATTGTCTTGGAACAGAAGTGTTGGACGTAACCCATAGTCCTGAGGTGGTAATATGGCCAAACTTTTCTCTGAAAACAATTGAGCTTCACCTGTATCTATAGAATTACTTTTTCTCATTCCAAGGAAGCGGTGGGTCATTTATTTAATTATTTATCCCCTCCTCTATTTTTTTGACAGGAAAAAACCATAAATACAATTACAACAACAATAATATAACACAAGAACACAATAATTAAAAAAGGAATAAATGAAGGAGTGCACCCACCACCCCAGAGACCAATACTACCATCGTACACATATAATATATAATATTCTTCAATTATACCCATATCCCCTCCAGAAAGTCATATAATCTTGATTGGGCTTACAGCCTTTGCCTTCTATCAGTACTGCTTTTAAAAAATCTTCCCACATTTCATTATATTCATTTGCTTTCATTAACCCTTTTAAAATTTTTATTTCTGTCATCAATTTATCATTAATAACCATATTCCATATTTCATTATACCATTCATGCCTTTGCAAAATCCAATTCTGTTTCCAATATTTAACTATCACTAGCCTAACTGCCATTATCATCCTTCCAATCAATTCTTTCTTAACTTCATTTATATCTTGTTTTTCTATCAACAGTAATAACACCATTCTTGGTGACATTTCTAAATCTATATTTAAAATTTCTCCAATTTTCTTAAATACAATAATCCAAATCTTTTGTATATTTTCACAATCCCACAACATGTTTATAAGTTTCAGTCTCTTTACCACATCTCCAACATATATTAGAGTATTTATCATCAATTTGATTTAACTTAACTGGTGTTAAATACCATCTCCATATCACCTTGTATCCATGCTCTTTAATTCTAATTGACATATTCTTACATACTCTTCTATTCCAAATATTCTTCCAATCCGTGCCTTTTATCTCACCTACATCCATTTCCCAAATTGATTTTAAAATTGTCATGTGATCCCCTAACTCCATTAATATCCTGTAGATTTTGGCAATTCTTCCTTTGGTTGTATATTCTTCCTTAGTCTCACATTCTTTTATAATCATTTCAAATTTTGTTAATTGTCTTTCTTCCTCTTTAAATTTGTCCTCCATCTTTATCCATTTTTCTAATTGAATTAAATTTAACCAATTTAATTTAGCCTCTGGCAATACACTCCTTAATTGTATTATATTTTTATCTTATTTTTCCAATCTTCCCATTTGAATATATGGTTATTTTTTAATTTATTAATCCAATCCTTTAATTCTATTTTTGGGAATTTCTCCATTTCAACCACTGGTGTTAATAGAGAAATTCCCGGGAATAACTGTTGCCTCCATTTTTCCCGTACTTCCATTATATTTTTAAAAAAAGAATTTTGAATTTTCTTAATAATCTTTTTAATATCCTTTTTAAACCAATATAACTCTAAATGATCACCTATTTCTCTTAATTCTTTTATTCAATATCACTCCATATTCATTTTTTATTTTGGACTATAATATCTGGAACTATCTTTAATTGGTTTGCAACCCAATACTTTTTAACATCTGGAATGCCCAGGGAAGGTGTGGGTCTTAATGTTGCAACTCTAGTCCTAGCTGCAGCACGGATGCAGTAAAATGTCTGCCTGAAATCCAGCTTTCATTACAAAGCAGCCATCTGCAAAGCATGGCTACCATCTGCAAAGATGGCGTTACAAGCTCGTCAGGTTGCAATACTGAAATCTCCTTATTTTAAATAAACGCACTTCATACTCTTACTGATATTCTCTTATGAGATTATCAGCTCTTATTAAGCAGTTGATGAATTCACCTTCTTTGCTTGTCAAATGTACCATCTTTATTCATTCAGCTTGCTTGGATTGTGGGGTATTTTAAATGGTTATGTACACTTCTTTGGGAACTCACATTGAAAGGCAGTTTATAGCCACTGTTACCATTTCCTATCATGGAATAATTAGAAACAGCATCCCAGCACTGTGCATTCATTCCCTCCTCTCTTGTTTTGAAAGCGTTGAACGGGATTGTTCATGATGTCACCCCAATACACCAAGGAACGCACTTGGTGATGCTGTTGGTCAACAGGAACGGACTGTATAAGACGAACCGGCTGTACCTCAACCCTGATGGCTTCTTCTTCCAAGTTCACATATTAGTTGTGGATGCCTTGAACTGCAGTAAACCCTGTCCAGGCTTCAAACTTGGTAAAGAACCTAAGTCTTTTCCCACCTAACATTGCCTTAGTTACTACCAGGAGGAAAGGGGATGTGGTTGGGTCTATAAGACAGGTTCGAAGGGTGGCTTTTGTCTTTTCCAGCTCCATGATTATGAACAGCATTTCTACCCTGCTCTTCAGCCAGAAAGGTTCCCAGAGCAGCTTGCAAGATCAGAAATAAGGCCATCACCGTCCAGAGTCTTCAGCACAAAAGTAGTGCCAAGAAAGGGACCTGAAAGGAGAGGGAAAAGGGCACTGGATTCTTAGTCACAACGTTCAGCGAATCTTGGAGCTGGACCTAGCATGAGGGAAGGGCTGCTTGAGATGGGCTCAGCAGGGGGCAACTGGCAGCAGGTGGGAAGGGCTTTCAGCCACAGCGAAGGGCCCTTGATGCTGCTTGCTCTCCCTCCAGTAGGACAGCAGAAAGCCAGGGATGTGCAGGGGCTCTTTCTGCAGCCGCAGGCATTCGAAACCCGGCCTGTCTCCAGTACAGCATTCAAAGGCCATTCGGGGTGGTGGGGAGGTGAGCACATGCTAGATTAGGGTTGTTCCAACAGGAGGTTTCTATTTCCCAGCTTAATGATGGTCACATACAAGCTGGCAGGCGTGCTTGTATCATGAAAGGAAATGGCCGGCGCTGGAAACTATCCCGTGTGGGAATGGCCCATCAGCCTCTGCAAGTGAGCTTTGCAGTGCGGCCCGCAGCAGCTCACCGCAACAGGAGTGCTGGCAATTGGGTTTCCACCTCCAGCACTACCAGTGTTGCAAAGGAAGCTGAAATGCTTCTGCAAGTTGGGGGGGGGGGCATGCGGCCCTCAGATGCAGTTGGCTGGCGACTCACACTGGGCCTAGACAACATGAGCCATTGTAAGGGATCATGGGTGTTTCGGGCCAACATCTGGAGGGCCGTGCTTTCCCCATCCTGCTCTCTGGGTCTGAGCTTTGTGTTTTGAGCCAGCAGCAACAGGCTGCTGCAGAACCTCAAGCAGCTTGTAGTTTCAGGGTGAGAAAAGCACAGGTCCAAGAGCAGCACATGCCTTGTACTACCTGAAGGACAATGACATCTACCCTCTTGGATGCACACCTTAGTGTGGTGAGGGGGCTTAAGAGTGTCAAACAAGCCAAGAGCAATGCCATCAGCAGGCCAGAAGAGTCTCAGGAGACTGATCCCCTAGCAGGGTCAGCCAAGGCAGAATGGTCAAGACTGAGGCACCAGACCAAGATGCATTCACCCGCTTCAGGAGTAATGGTCACATCAGCAAAGAGAGAATGGACCTCATTACTGCTGATGGGGTAGGGAACTCCTGAGGGGCAGCTGCTGGGCAGTGGTGGTAGCTGAAGGCAACACTGGTGGAGAATCTTTCACAGACAACAACAGTGATGCTCAATCTAACTCTGGTCAGAACTGAGCAGTAAAGGACATGATAAACCACTTCTGAATATTCTTACCATGTAAACCTTATGATGAAACAATCCAAAATGAAGCAAGAGATACTGCAGAAGACACTTTCCCCATGCAGGTTGGAAAGCACTTTATGAGCTACTGGAGAAGGGCAAAGGACAAATACAAGTAGTGTTGTTGTTAATGTTGATTCTAGATCAAACCTGAAAGGAAGACTAGTGGCTGACCTGCACAGGGCTGAGAGACCAAGGCTGCACAACACATATAACCGGGACATGGAATGTGAGACGTATAACTCAAGACCAACTGGAATGGTAAAGCTAGAAATAGAAAGAATGACTATCTCAGTACTTGGTGTGAGTGAACTACAGTAAACTGGAATGGGGAATTCCCAAAAAGAGAAACACAAACTGTTTTACTACAGAAATAGCAAACTCTGAAGAAGTGGAGTGACTCCAATACTGAGGCAAGACTTAACACAGGCAGTAAGAGGCTATAATGCAAAATCCAACCAAATGATATCAATCAGAATTAGTGGAAAATCTATCAACATAACAATCAACAAATCATTCAAATCCATCCCCCAGATGCTGAACAAGAAGAAACTGAAAATTGTTGTGTGGATGTTCAAGAAGAAATTGATAACACACAAAAATAAGACCTGCTGCTAATCCTAGGTGAATGGAATGAAAAAATAGGAAACCAAAATGAAGTAAATGTTGTTGGGAAGAATGGTCTAGGGGTAAGAAATGAAGCAGAACGACTGGCAGAATTTAGTGGAACCAACAACCTGTCCATTGCAAACACATACTTCAAGCAACCGCTGAGATGACTGCATGCATGGATATCACCAGATGGCCAATACAAAATCGAATAGACTATGCAGTTGGAAGCAAAGGGCGGAGAAGCTGTATTCTTCTTGCCAAAACAACTCCAGAGGCAGACTGTAATAGTGGTGATCAGAATTTCAAAGATCAGAGACAAGCTAAAAAAAGGTCACCAGCAAAAACATAGTGCCAAAATATTACTTATGTAACTTCCCTGAAGAATTTGAAGTCCACATAAAGAACAGACTTACATTGCTCAACTTAACTGACTGTGTGCTAGAAGAACTGTGGACTGAAGCCAGAGACATTATTACGGAAGAATGCCAAAAACAATTTCTCTAGAAACAGGAAAGAAAAAGCCTAAGGCAGAAAAAACAAAAACACTCACATTTGCAAAGGACAGGCAAGAAGCAAATGCAAAATTTGACAGAAATACAGCTTTTTAGCACCTATCACAGAGGTAACTATTACAATGGCCACTGCAAGAAATAGAAGAGAACAAAAAAAAAAAAAAAAAAAAAAAACAAGGTCCAAGAAATCAAAGGGAAGTTCAAACCTAGATTAGGCATGCTAAAAGACAAGGGAACATACTGTCTGACCAAGAGAAAATAAAGAGAAGGTGGAAAGAAAATACAGAACAGTACAGAAGAGATGAAAGGATGAAGGATCTCTTCGAAAGGAAATTCTATGAAGAAGATCCTGCAATATTAGAAAGTGTAATGAAAGTGCTCTGAAAGCACTTGCAAAAAATAAAGCACCTAAATAGGATATTAATAGAACTATTTCAAGCTGCAGAAAACGAATCAGTCCAAATCTGAACCAAAATATGCCAACAAATATGGAAAACAAAGCCACAGCCCACAGATAGAAACATTCAGTATTCATTCTGGTCCCCAGGAAAGGAGAGGTAAAAGAGTGCAGCAATCACAGGCCCTTTGCATTACTCTCCCATGAAAGCAAAGCAATGCTCAAAGTGTTGCAACAAAGAATACCATCCTGAATGGAGTGAGAAATGCCAGACCTCCAAGCTGGATTGCAGAAAGGAAGAGGCACTAGAGATCAGATTGCAAATATATGTGGTCGACCAAAGAAGTTCAGAAAAAGACCAGTCTGCTCCATAGACTATAGCAAAGCCTTTGTGTGGATTGTGAGAAGCTGTGAATGGTCCTGAAACAGAAGACAAGAAACTGCCATCAGGGCAGAAGATGGAGAAACAGGATGGTTTCCTATAGGCAAAGGCATCAGACAAGGATGCATTTAATCTCCCTCTCTGTACGCAGAACATGCAGGAAAGCAGGTTAGAATCAGAAGAGTGAAAACTGGTGGAAGAAATATCACTAATTTAAGATATGCAGATGAAACCATAGTACTGGCAGAAAGCAGCAATGTCTTGAAGTGACTCATAAAAATGAAAGTGCAAAGGAAGGACTGAAGCTGAACATTAAGAAAATAGAAATTATCTCCACAGAAGAATTACAGAATGTTACTGTTAATAATGAAAAAATCAAAATTGTGAAAGATTTCACATACCTTGGCTCAGTCATCAATTCAAAGGGAGACTTGCAGCTAAGACATTCGAAGAAGACTGAGACTCGGAAGGGCAGCACTTTTACACTAGAAAAGGTTACCAAGTGTAAGGGACCAAGTTCAAGATCATCCACACTATTGTATTCCCAATCATAATCTACATGTGTGAAAACTGGCAAGAAGAAAATTGATGTTGTTGAACCAAGATGCTGGAGGAGAGCTTTGTGAATGCCCTGGGCCAACAGAAAGATAAACAAGTGGATCTTAGATCGAATCAAGCCAGAGCTTCCCCTAGAAGCAAAAATGACAAAAGTGAGGCTGACACAACATGAGATGGAAAGACTCACTGGAGAAGACAATCCTGTTAGGGAAAGTCAAAGGCAGAAGATGAAAGGGAAGACCGAATATGAGATGGACTGAATCCATAAAGGAAGCCACAGCCTCCAACTTGGAAGAGCTGAATGGACCTGCCATGAACAGAACATTTTGGAGGGCTTCCATCCATACCTTTGCCTTACGTTGGAGACGACTTTATTTATTTAATTTACAGTATTTTTACCCCATCCTTAATGTCTCAGGATGGCTTACAAGATAAGCCAACTTGATGACACATAACACACGCATGCTTTTGTAGCTCAATGTTCACTTCATTAGATGCATGATGTGGTTCCAGATGACTGGGGGCTGGAACAAATGGTGAGGTCAGAGGCATTGAAAGGCAGAAATGGTAGATGGTAAGGATTACCTTAAAAATAGCCACTGTACTATTGGGAAAATCCAACGGTTGCTGGGTGGACACACAGAGAACCTTGCAGTGATGAGCTCTTTCACATGTCCTTGTCTCTATTCATGTCACATAAGATAATCACTATTGTAATTCAGCTAATTTGCAGTGGAATCTGTCTTTGAAGTTCCTCTGTTCAAATCTGGCTGCATTCAGGTCAATGACAGGTGGACATTCTGAAGCAAACCTTTCAGGTGCAACAAGTGATTTAGAATTCATGAAGAGCATCGAATATTCTCTCCTGTGGCTTGAATAGGGAATAGGGGTTTTTTAAACACAGTATTTGTGTAGTCAATCAGCTCATGGCTTCAAGGATACTTCTGCTATCATCCAACAACCGTTTCTGTGAATTACTGGTAAGGTAATTACCATTGTGTGCTACTTTCTTCATTTCAGTGCCCTCTGACTCACTTAATCTTCCCCCAGGTGTGTGTGTGTGTGTGATGCATGCATTCATGTGTGCACCACTCAGGAAACAGTGCATGCATCTGATGACACTGTTGTCCCTGAAAGCTTATTCTGTAATGTAATGCATTTGTCCATTTGAAGATCTCCCAAGACACTGTTGTTTTGCCTGCAGCATCCTAACAGGGCTATCTCTGGAAAGTGAGATAAAAACCAAGGCTTTATAGTCTATGTTATTCTTTTAGTTCTTGTGATCTTTCTAAATTGAAGGTCTGGGCAGATAAAACGAGCACACACTGCAGCAAACGTGACACCGGTCACAGAATGTTCTGTCCCAGCTCTGGCACTTGCTCTTTTTGCAGGCAGCAGATACATCGTGATGGGTCAGATCTACCACCGGAGACGGCAGCTTCCTGCAGTTCTACAAGAGCATGTGAGAGGGCGCCTGAGGCCAGGTGATGGGCTGCTTTGGAGGGGCAGAGGCTATGTGAGCAGGTTCAACAGGAGGCGAGACCAGAGGGTTCGAGGGGCGGCTCATGCCCAGTGCGGGTGAGGATTCCAGCACCGCCGTGGCTCCTGGGGTTGAAGTCAGTGGAGGGCTGCTGCCAAAAAAAGTCTCTGCGCTTGCCACGGGCTTTTCTACCTTCTCTGCCAACAGCCGACAGGTCTTGTTAAGGAGCGGAGAGTGCAGCGGCCCCTTAAAAACAAGCCCAGTTATTGAGCTATGCGACTTCACCCACCTCCAGATAACCTGCCAGTCCACAAGAGCTACAATAAATAATTTGTTTTAAGGCACACAGCTATTTTTCTGGAATTTGTGCAGCTGGGTCAATGTGAGCTTTGATGCTTGTGGCATACTTTTAGAGGAATATTTCTACCCGTCTGCTCCACAGTGTTGTATGTTCAGTGAAAAGCTGAACTTCTCAACATTTGGTTTGACAGGAGAAAATCAAAATGACAGGAATGGTTCTTACGGAATACATATGCAGTGGTTTGTGTGAAAATGATGAAGGGTGATGCATACACATTCTGCTTCTTAATAGGCACATCTGAGGTTTTTTTCTTGAATAATTTCCTTCCTTGCTCTTGAACAGTGTCGGCTCCCATGTACCTCAAGTCTACTTATTCTAGTTAGGTCTAGAACTTGATAGCATCCTATGCACATGATGCACATCCTATGAAACTATGATTTCTTCTAGAAAACAACCAAAGCTCTGCACGCAGCTTCAAAAGAGTCAGTCAATTGCAAACTTCAGTTTCTGGCAAACAGGAGCGAGCGCATGTTGGATTCACTTGAGAAGACTCGCCTGCTGGAGCAAACTAAAGGCCTGTCTAGCCCAGCATCGTGTTTCACACGAGAGCCACATCATTGCTTGGGGGGTGGGTAGGCAAAAGCAGGCCAGGAAGACACCGGCCAGATCCAACACTTCCATATACATTTTTGGGGGCTAAAACCAAAGATGCTGAAGTTTGCATTCCAGGGACTGAGCTCACAAGCATTGGCTTTGTGAGCCCCACCTTGCAAAGCTTCTCTAGGGTCGGGGGGACAGCAGAGCAGCAAGGGGTTCAGCAAGAAGGGGGTGCTGGCATAAATGCTGGGTGGATAGCATCTCACCAAACTTGGTTATTCTTTGCCTGTGCATAGAAGCAATTTAGGTGGGGAGTTGGGCTAAACTCAAACACGGATGAAGTTCGTTCGCTATACTCATTTTCTATAGAAGCATTCATGTTAAAAAGCCCCTTTTGTTAACGGTTACTTTCTCTAGCACTTGTGTAAGAAATTAGGCACAGGCAGATAAATAGCGACGGAACATGCAAACATTTATCTGATTTTGGGCCACTTTCATTTTTGGACCTTGCAACTTGTATTACAACAACTTAGGAGAAAATTTACACCTTAAACATTGGATGTCTACCTAAAACAGCAATTTCTATAGAGTGATGGCCCAAATGCCTGTAGCCACATTTAAGCAAAAACGTTTCAAGGTTTGTAGAACAGCAGATTGCATTAGAATGGCCAAATTTGGTAAGAGAGAAAAGTAACTGGCAAGGGAAAATTGCAGCACTTCAGCTCAATTTAAATGACTGGATGAGAAATCAAAGGCAGAGAATAAGTGCAATGTCGGGCAAGAATAATGCATCACGAAAATCGTTTGATTCATGAGAGATGGAAAAGGAAAGGGCTTTACCATTATAGAAGAGAAAGGAAATTAAACGCCCAGATGCGAGCCTGGGCTGGAATCTCCTAGGAGATCCTGTAACCTTATACTAGCAAAGAACAATTCAGAAATGTCTCTTCTAGATCTCTCATGATGTCTAACAGGTTCATACAGCGTCTAACAGAAGGAAATGAGTTGGTTAAGAAAGAAATGGCATGCTTACAATCGAGATGTCAGAGTTGAATTTTTTCCAAGACGTCTTGAATGAAGGCATTTTGTTTTGTCAAAATGAGACATCCTGGCAACAGCCCAGACCAGTGGGAGAGGCTAGGGGGCAGCCTGCTCACCAAGCTTTCCTTGATTTATTCAAATTATTTTCTATATTTAACTCAAATCTTATGAAGTCAGATTCTTCCACTTTAAGATGAGGAGAGGCCATCACAGCACCACTGTTGTTCCTGTAGTTCGAATCAAGGAATCAAACAGCAGTTTTCTGTCAGTGCAAAGTAACTTTTGAAGTATCTCCATTAGAATTTGAAGGGATGTGAGACAGGAATTTTCAAAGGTCATGTCAGCTGCATCCTAGATCTTGCATGATCCGCACAAGGTTAATCTCCCAAAAACTATTATTTTTCCTGACCTGCTCCAGCCTGATAATGCTTCAAGCTTTCATCACAAGCATTTCACATCAATCAGCTTATGCTGCATTAATGGCTTGGCTCTCAATTTCCTACAGAGCTTTCCTGTTTTCCTATCCTCTGGGCCTGCTATGCCACATCCCACACAGGTCCCGTGGAGGTCCATGCCACATTCCAAGCTCAAGGAGTGTATTTTCTTAGGTTCACACAGAAATTGAAACAAACCAACATGATTTCCATTCAAACATGTGTGTGTTGGAGTCGGGGGGTGGGGGGGGGGGGGACTGCCTTGTTCTCAGAACTGCTTGTATGATTGCTCCCATCAGCAGAATGACAGCTTTGGATCCAGTCCCAAGCCAATGCCTACTATTTATGTAGCCCTTCCAAGTATTCAGAGTGCTTCATATGCAGTGACCCAGTTCCAATCCGGTGACAAGGCACAGTTTGTTCTGCAGAGATCATGGTAAACCTTGCACACCTTCCATGACTTTCACATGTAAATACAGAAGATTGCAAGTGGAAGTTGAATTTCTTCTCACAAGCTGCTTGCTGCAGCTCATGAGCAAATCAATGAACTTCTTTCTTGTTACGTCTGAATAGGACTATTATGAGTTTTTCTTACAACAACCATGTACGGTAGGTCAGTGTTCTTCTAATTCCACATACTGGATCCATGTGCAAGGTTGACTGCAGCTTTCCAGTCTTCCATGCAACTTCACAGCTGAGGTGAGCTTTGAACTGGGCACTTCCTTCTTCACAGGTTAGTCTCTCAGCACACATGCTCAGGACAATCCTATATGCACTTCCTAAGATGTCTTAGTATACTTAAGCATGTTTATAACACACTGTATGACTTGGCGTGTACATTTTCTTAATGTTCATGGACTGGATCCAGGCTTAAGTAAGGTTTAGCGCAGACTCAATGAATTCTCTAGGGCAAATTGGTAATGATTAAGTTTAATTTTTATGAGACTAAGGCAGGCTAAGAAGCTTAGATCGAGGCTAATGCATAAATATCAGGGCTAAGACATTTACCAAAGGTTGATAAAACAGTTTTTTACACCTGCTTAGAAATGAGAAAGCAAGGAGCCCTGGCTATTTCTCCCTTTATCCATGGGGGGTGGGGGGTGAGTTACACTGATTAAACTGCAGTATGTTTTTGTGGTGGTGGTGTTTTGAAATGTGACTCATAGACTCCCAATTAAAATATTTTGCTGCACAAACTTGAAAATGCATCCAAAATGTTTAAAAAGCTGTCCCTCTCCAACACTTTTGAAAATACTTGCTTCAGGGTTTGTGCAATGTGGAATGACTAGGTAACATTTCCTCTTGTCTAGAATATTCCTATCCTAACTAGAAAAAGAATGAAGTAAAAGCTCCACCCGGATCAACATCTGCAATTTCTGGAGACACAAATTCCAGTTAATAGCATTAGTTACCAGGCATTCTGTTAGTAGATATTTACTAGCACACATAATCAAACACTATGGCACAGTTCAACGATGTTTCTTTAGAATATCAACACAAACAATAATTAAAAACATGGTTTGCATTTATTTTTCTGGTTGTCCATTTCTTTCTGGTTGCATGCACACTTACCTTTTTTCCTCAGGGAAATCCAAGTTGGATTCTTGTCTTCCACACTCACTCTGTGAATTTTATTCTGTACATACATATTCCTCCAGAAGCAGTAAGTGTTGGGCAACTTTGTAACAGGAAAGTATGTTATAAAGGAAAGTGTTAACTACATGCTATCCAAACTCAGTAGACAGTCAATTCCCTTGCTTATCTAAGAATGGACTGTTAAGCTAGCCTATTTGCCCCTGGCTAAACAGCACATAGCTTGAAACAGGAATCCAAACAAGGCGGGCTTTGTAAGCAAAGAACAAATCCAGGAGCTCGAGTTCACATGTCCTTGACCTAGGGACAGGCAATTCTTGGAGGTCTCGAGGCAGTATCTCTGTATCACCCTGTGGGTGCCAAAGGCAAAACCCAAAATGACATCTGGCATGACTAAACAGCGCCAAAAAAGTCAACATTAGCTTGCTTGCCATTTTGGCATTCCAGATGCCATTTCGTTTGTAAAATATGTAAGCCATTTTTGAGTCCCGCCCCCCTGAATTTCAGGGGGCTGTACTGGGAAGCCACGGAGGTCTCATGTAGCCCACAGGCAGCCTAATGCTCACCCCTGTGCTAAACAAATAATTCCTGGTGTGTTTAGACAGCAGCATGTGTACCATTAAGCCAGCATTCTCCAGAAGACTGGCTTTACTCTGGCATGCAAAGATGGCTAGTAGTTATCCAACTCACCCCACCAAATGCCAATTTAAAAATTATTGAAAATGTTTTTTAAGTGCCCCATGCAATATTGAAATACGAATTTGTGTGTGTGTGTGTGCATGTGTGCATAATGTATGCATATACATATACATACACACACATATATGTGCTGATTATAATTTAAATGGTTGATGTGAAATCAAAAGTTAGTACAAATGAAGAAATCATTCACGTAGGCAAAATAAATGGAGAAATCATTCATGTAGGCAAAATAAATTCAAATTCAAAATTGTCTACTACTTTCCCTAATATGGGAAAAGAAATAGTTGGCTATGTGACTTTAAAACATGCACTTGTTTTAAACATTTTAAACATTTTAAAGAAAGCTGGCTTCATGGGTGGGGGGGGGTCTTACCTTAGAGCGACCATAAAATCCGCTTAATATTGTGCTTTGCTTACCGTGGTGCAACCAACGTGCAGCTGTTTAAGATAATACCATTCCAACTTGAGTTTCCATAAAAAAGTTCTAATCTATCATAAAAAACAAAACAACTAATGAATCTCTGGAAGCTTTTGAACCCTATTTAGATATGGAACACCAAATCCTTCCATTCTACTGAGGAATCATGATTAAAAAGTGACCTCAGTTGATTCATGATATTTGATACACACATTGGACAGGTCTCAGCAAGTGAACGAACACTGGAGTTTAAAGAATGAGATGTTGGGGGGGGGGAAATAAAGTATTCTGCACATTGTTTCTTTTAAAAAACTGAGTAAAGTATAATTTTCTTTATTCCTTTTACAGAAGTGGTATTTAAAATGTACACACATTACACTGGCTCATAAATAAAACTTTAAAAAAACCTAAACATTACCATAGTTGATACAGCTAAGAATTGTTGTCATATATTACAAAGCAGTAGGAAAAATGATGAGGATTGGTAAAAAGTGTATGAAAGTAGCATTTTCCTCATTTCATAGTTATATATATATTTATATATATATGAAAAATTCCCAATAATTTCTGCACAGTATGGCAATGCCAAGTGCTACATACGTAATTTTAAACAATTGATGTTTCATTAGGAATTCCACCAAATCTGATGTCCAACAACATTACTTTATTTATCTAAGATGAAATGTCCTATTATGTACAAAAAAGGTAATTTTCAGTTTGTCACAATTTGTTAAAAACGGTGATCTATTGCCTATGGGTAGGAAAGTTATTTTTTCAACATGGTTTTTCAGTGGCAGCCATATGTACGAATAATACAGAAATATTGTGGAGACAATATTTGTAGGATTAAGGTTGAAAAGTTTCCTTCTTTTATAAACATAATGCATACAATATGTAGCATCATCTCTTTGTAAAAAGTCCTAAGACAATATACCCTACACACAAATACTTTTCCCTACTTTCTAAGAAGCATAAATGGATGCCGTTCTCACAATGAACAATTAACTTTCTTTTGATTTCACATTGGTTAAATGACAGCATCTATGTACAAGAGTAGAGGTTTTCTTAGAGAAAATTAACCCCAAAGTATCTGTACACCTGAGCCTGTACTTATAAGAAAATTGTGGTCAACAGCAATGCCTCAGAGAGTAACAGAAAAGGTTCTTGCATAGCAGAGTGAAGTTAAACCCAAATGATAAATTCAGTGATAAATTCTGGATCACTGAAGGGCAAAATTGTGAATTAGTGCAAAATCTAGTCCAAATGAGTGGAGAGCTACAGAAACCAAGTCCTGCTGGTTTACGATGCACGTATAAGACTGTCATCAATAGCATACGTGACTGGTTGTGGACAGTAATTAAAAAACCTGTAAAGCTTCTATCTGTTGGCTTCTTCTATCTTTTTACATACCTTTCCTAGTAGAAAAGTCAAAAATGAAGCACACTTTTGAGACCATTATTTAACCTCATACAATCATTTGCACATTACTATCTTATTTAGCAATGGGCAATGATACTTCTCACACAGCCCCTTCAGCATCAATCCAAAAGTTGTGGCACCGCAGTAAAATGTTATCTGATTTAAAAAACAAGGAGAATCACACTTGGGGGCTTGTCCATCCTTCCCCTTCCATCCTTCCCCTTCCATACTTCAGAACCTCCAAAACCTCACAAACACGTTAGCGAACATTCAAAAGACACCTACTTCTGTGGAGAGAACAACGACCTCCATTTATTTTGTTTCATATACATCCATATTTTGAATTTTTAATACAAAAAGAAAAAAATTAGAATCTGACAAATGTTTACAAACAAGATACCTTCAAATAGATTTTACTCATATCAGTCCGGTGCAGAGCAAATGACATTGTACTGTGATATTCAAGGCAACAGAGTCTGTAGTCCATGACCATTTTGCCGAACTTTTCTGCAAGCTTAATTGTTTTCATCTACCATGAACAATAAACTCATAGTTGATTCCCAGTTTGTTTGTGCACATGTGTACATAGCAGCTCCTTTCATAGAAAGAAAAGACATCTAGAGGTCATCTTGTACTTTTACCTACAGGAATCATGGTAAGATACAGAATGGGTTACATATAACCAGGGCTGGGGTTTATAAGAAAAAAATAATTAGCTGACAAATGAGGGCAGCAATAAAAAAGCGTCCTTTTGCAACAATAAATAAATACAGTCCAAAGTTCTCTGTGTGGACTTTAAACCAGCTTCTTCACTGAAGAACAGATGTGGCATTTCCATGGAGTTTGAAGTTGACCCCATTTTACTGTATCTTGTTTTCTCTCTTGTCCTTCAACAAAACATTTTCCTGTTTCTGCCACAATAGCACAATTTGATCTTGACAAGAAAACGATGCTGCTGATTTTTATTCTTTTGTCCTTTGGACAAAATTAGCCAAGAATATAATCTGATGCGACTGATAAAAACGCAGTTTACATCAAGACTTGCCAGGACACCCTGACTAAAAACCTCTGGCTTCTCAATTAAAAAATGTCAGACAACCAGATCTCTTGCTGTTTGTGTTAGGGTAACACGTGGAACTTAAGAAGCTGTAGACTGCAGTTTGTTGTTATGAGACCTGCAGAATGCAGAAAAAGGGAACAATTAAGCACCCTTCATGAAAGAGATCCCAGCTGCTTTAGGCGGGTGCCAAGCGAATGCAGCCATGCTCCTGCTCTGGTTCTGCTTTGCAAGACACACATGATATACAGAAAACATCTTTGCCTTTCGCTACACAGATAGCTTCAGGTCTGTATAAACATGACGTTCATTTGGAATGCCCAAACATCTAGATGTGTCACATAATACTTGACGGAGGCACATATCAATAATATGTACCCATTTTACATTGCTTGGGAAGGTGGTTGGATCAAAGTACATTTATTGGTAAAATGTAAATCAGAAATACCACATTCTTCTTAGAACTCATCAAATTCTCCTTTGGATTTTTTTTTATTAAAGGAAGTAACTGGAATTACATCACTTCTATCACTGATATTGAATGTTGTCCAGTACAATAGTCAAAGAATGGATCATTGTATTTTCCAACATGGATGACAGCAAATGACTGTTTCCACATTAAAGCAAAGTTTAAAAGTAAAAACAGCAAGTATGGATTTAAAAAGAGATAGTTAATGACATGGTGCAATGAAAGAATAAGCAAAACATCCAGTTCTGATTCCAGTTAGAAAGGTCAGACTAAAGTTATCACAATCTGCAAAAAAAGAACATGGGTGGTATAAATGAAGCAGTAATGGGAGTTGCCGCTAAACAATAAATGCTGATAATAAAAGAAAGATGAGAAAGAAAGAAATGGCAATTTGAAAAAGAGTCAGCTCAACCGCCAGTTTCCCCTCATGTTATTTTTTCCTCATCCTTTTGTTCTGCCTGGAAAGGGACTATGGAGGCAAGGCGAGAGCATCTGCAGGCACTGTAACCACTGGGAACCACAACAGTTTGGGCTGCATGCTGGCAGATGTGTTCAACCTTGGTGCAGCTCAGCCCTGGGAAACACATCCCCTTTCCAAGGAAGGAGGAGGCAAGCACCCTGGCTCTGACCCTGTGGCATTTCTTCACTAAGAAGAAGCCAAGGGCACAATTCAGGCCAGGTTTTACACTTAAATCCTACTGATTTCAGTGGAGAAAATTTAAGCTGGCACTTAATGCTCCCATCAACATTGCAGGAAATCCAAAGCACTTGGCTTTCAACTACAAATGGGACAGAGCAACAGTCAGACTGAAATCCAAGGCCTTTGTTTAGAACGCAAGTGCTCCAGAATACACCTGCTCAGGATTACATTCTCAGGCTGCTGGAGTCTTCTGGGGCACAGCCTGATTTTCTTGCCTGCCATTCCAACATTCAGTTCCTTTGCAAATTGTATACATTCCCTACTATGCTGCACTGCCTGTAATTTAAACAAAGCTACCATGTTATTTCACAAACTTCACATTTTTAATTTGATAACGGGCTCAACAAGTATTAAATTCACTCATTCTGATCATATGTAGATTTATGTTAATAGCGAAGCGTGTGAGGAGAACCAACGTTTAAAAACCCAGAAATGTAAGTTGCTAGTGGTAAAATGTATGCCATGCTAACAGAGAGATGCACTCAGGAGAAAGGCTACTTACCTGCTTGCTTTGAACCCTTTTAGTTTCTGTACAAAGAATGACTCAAGAACCTCTGCACACTGATAAAAAGGAGAGTCACTTGGATTGTAGTAACGACAGTTATCAAATATTTTGGTCATGTCGGCCACAAATTCGGTCACCTTTTTGTAGTAACGTTTCAGTATTCTTTCTTCCATGGTGGAAAGGTCTTCAAAAGAAGCAAAAGTTATTCAAAAATAACATGTCAGTAACTCGTACAAGTTACCTCCTATCCTGGAAGCGCAGAGGAAAAGAAATGTGTGCTTGACTGGAGTGCCATTAACATCTGTGCTGGAATATTATGCAGAATCAAACTGTGAGCAGCAGAACAGAAGAGGAGTTGCTACATTGGCTGAACCCATCCACTCCCTGGGCATACAAGTATGATGCGCACACAGCTACACACATGCCCCGTCTTAAGTCCTTAGTTTCACAAGGGCATAATGGAAGCTACATGGAGAATTTACTTGATGCCTCAGCTAGAGACCACTTGGATTTTATACTTTAATTTTCTGCTTGGTGTTTCTCAAGCAATTAGAGCATATAAACAAGCTTAATTTGCAGCCTGTGTACTCCTACTGATTGTTCCTTATTTCAATTCATAGACTTGTCTGAATGCTTCAATTAGTTGCCACTGAAATGAACATACAACCACACAAAGAACAGGCTGTGATAAAAGTCCCAGTTCTGCAACTGCCACAGTAACCATTGAAAATGAAAAGAAAGAAAAGTAAAAAATGGAAAGGAGAAGCGGAGAGGAAAGCATGAATCTTGCCTCATGAAAATACAGATAATTAAGCAGACAGGAAATAGAACTGTTTCTTAAACATAAGTGAACATAGGCAAACATATTCTATGTGAAACCTTTCTGTAAAGCCATGCTTGTAAAAACAACACAGAATAAAAAGTACTAAAAAATTAACACAGAGCTCAGTTGTTAGCCTGATGTTGCAGCTTTACCAAAACTAAGTGGATGTGGCCCTGGCCATCTAGATGGAAAACCACTGGGAGCTCCATGTTAATGGTTAGGGTGTTTGGTGTGACATGTTGTCCCTGAAATCTGGGTTGCTGAGGAGGAAACAAACCAGGGTGCCAGGTCTGGACAACACAGAAAACTATCCAGGTTCAGCGGAATTCCTCAGTTGTTTTATAATCCGTAAACCAAGTGGAGATGGCAAGTGTTTGTGAGTAGTATACTTGTTCCCACACGGCTCCACAACTCCATGGTTGTCATTAAGTTTGAATCAGCACCATGTTTTAACTATTGCTTTGTTTTTATATAAGCAAATGGTGGGGATTCCCTTGCAACACAATTTAGCAGGGCAACTCTTGGCACCATTTTCTGGAGCTACTGTGGGAAGAAGGGAGTGGGAAAGTCTCTTCCATCAGCCCAGTTGCACAGGCATAGATCTGGATCCTACCCTCTATCTAGAAATTGAACTCCAGGCTCACATTTTGCTAATGGGCAGAGTCATGCTGGTGCACGACACTATTAATTATCTCTAAAGTCTCAACTATTATCAACATAGCATAAATAGTTCTACTAACATTTTGAAAGTTCTCTCTTATTTTGCAAAGTATTTACTTCTGCGTTCTTAGGATGTCTGTTGAATTTGCAAAAACCATTACATTTTGTATGCTGTCATATTACTTCTAAAATTTTAGGCATTTATAAGTGAAGTTTGCAATCACTGAAGGATATATTACACTTTCAAGCATGTCTACTTTGTCACAAAATATTTCAATCAATCATCAAAGAAACAAGTTATTCTATTATGTAACTCATTAAGTTTTTGGTTAAAGCAAATCCTTGTATGCACAGTGCTAACTTTAAAAGCATTTCCATATACATAATGCTTTTATTTCAAAAGGCAACTACAGCTAAGCATACTACAGAAAGTGTTAAAGGCAAGCTCTTGCTTTAACTATAATTAAAAATCCGAGAAAAGGGAACAGACTGACAAGGGAAGATGGCTATGATGTATAGGTCAACTATGTTTTTAGGTGCTTTTTAAAATGAGAGAGATGTCAGAAAAAAGAGCATTTCAAAGAAAAGGAACCCAAACAGAAAAAGAGTAAGAATGGGAAATAATACAGTATAAAGAATTAAGACACAAAACAGGCAAGTAATGTGATTAAAATAAGATGCAGAGCAAATAAGATAAACAGTACAGTGAAAGATAAGAAAAAGAGGCTGAAGAAACATAAAGGCCAAAGAGAACAGTACTGCAACAGTATAGATGTAAAACAAAGTGCTAACCATAGTTTTCATAGTGGAAATAAGAAAAAAGAATACTGCTCAGAGAGATTACAAAGCTGAAACAAAGTGGAAAAATAAGTAGTTGCCTGAATAAAACATAAAGACTCCATCTTAGCACAAAGTTCACACGCTCAAGGTGGACAGGTTAAATCAGACACTCACGGTCCTAACCACCCACAGAAGTAATTCATAACAGAGAAGGAGATTCATTTTAGAAACTTTTTGTGAATAAAATGAGATTAGAGCAAGAAAGACCAACACCTGAAGAATGTAAGAAAAGAGATTGTGAAATTTCTGCAGATTGTCTCCTTAAAATCGGCTCACTTGGTTATAAGAAATGCTAACAGCAAAAGAAGAAGGGGACGGCAGAGGATGAGGTGGCTGGATGGAGTCACTGAAGCAGTTGGTGTGAGCTTAAGTGGACTCCGGGGGATGGCGGAGGACAGGAAGGCCTGGAGGAATGCTGTCAATGGGGTCACGATGGGTCGGACATCATGACTTTGCGACTAGCAACAACAACAACAAAGGATAAGGATAGTCTGAAATTGAGGATAAATATAAAAGGTGTCAAGAATAATGGTCCTCACATTCAAGCCTTCACATATCATTAGAAATATTTATCAGAGCAGATGACATACTGGTGGACATAATCCAGAAAGCAATGCATTTAAAAAAGCAGCAAAAGGGAAAGTCAGACATTGAGGAAGCACCAGATGTTTCAGAACATGGAACAAGAAAACTGGAAGAAAAGGAGAAGCAATGGTGAATGTGAAGTATGTGAAGTAGTAGATGAAGAGAGGTTAAATTGTACAAAAGGCTTCATAAAAAGGCTACTTCTAGGGGGCAGATAGTAAAAACAGAATGTAAGCAAAGAGAAAATAGGATTAGAAAATATTGCTGATATAGAAGGCACAAGGCATAAAAGGTTTGGTTGAGGCCAAACTATAGAAGAAGAGACAAAAGAACAAATGTGAGTAAGAATTAAGATTTACTTGGATAAATCCAGTGAAGAAGGGACAAAGACATCAGATTCAGAACTGAACCTAAGATTAAAATCGTTCTTTGTAGGACCAGGTACTTTCTCAAGATTAGATCAAGTTCTGCCCCCCTAACCCCAGAGACAGGGCCTTCTCCTCAGCTAGCTGGTCTCCAGCTCTCAGGGGGAAAATGTTTTATTCGGTATGCTAAGGGGGGGGGACAAAGACATCAGATTCAGAACTGAACCTAAGATTAAAATCGTTCTTTGTAGGACCAGGTACTTTCTCAAGATTAGATCAAGTTCTGCCCCCCTAACCCCAGAGACAGGGCCTTCTCCTCAGCTAGCTGGTCTCCAGCTCTCAGGGGGAAAATGTTTTATTCGGTATGCTAAGGGGGGGGGTGGCTGTCTAGGAAGACTTTTGGTTCAGAAATTCAGTTTTTAGTCAGTGTTTAATTTTGAAGAGCCACTATCTCGTCCGACATGCACCTGCCAACTCTTTATAACCGCTGTTGAAGGAATGGCAACATTCATCAATCATCAACTGATCAGTCCCTTTCCAGCAGTGGAAGAAGGATGTACAATACCCTTCATCAGGAAGCCTGGTTGGTTCCTTCATCTTTAGGGGTGGGCAACTTGCGGCCTTCTGGGTGTTTTGGCCTACAGTTCCTATCATCTCCCACCATGGCTATACAGTCTAGAGCTGATGAGGAATAACAGGGCAACACACTTGGAGGTCCAAAAGTTACTCACCCTGCTTTAGGCAAATGTTCAAGTCATTCTCATTTAACCAGGTTTTGCATAAATTTCAACTTTTGTATCTTGCTGCTGCTACGGTGGGGCTTTTTACTGTTCTTGTTGTTTTTAACTCTCAATTCTTTTGTATTTTACTGATATAGAATTTACTGTCTGTGTGTGCATGAATGCATATAATCTATGTTGTAAGCTGCCACAGGGGTTTTTGTAGCTGGAAGGCAGAACATAAATCATCTACATTAATAAGTGATTCTACTTTCTCATAAGGTATAAAGAAATTATGACAGAACTCAATGGGTTCTATATACCAAATACACATGTACACAATTGTGCTGCCCATCTTTCTTACTCATTCTATAGGATACGGGCATTTTTAACAATAGATCTGCAAGTGAGAGCTAGCACATATGCACCAAATAATATGTTCATTCTAATGAATTCATCTTTGCAATCAAAACAGGTGGGAATATACTTACCCATAGGTTCTTTGATAACACCATAATAATCTGGGGCATCATTGGGATCAACTGGTTCAAGGAATGGCCATGCCATTTTGTGAGCCTGTTAGGAAAAGGAGATATCATAAATTTCAAAATTACTATTTATCTTATTAATTAAGCTGAACCTCATGCCACCTATACCTGCTATATGAACTGTCCTGCACTAAGCAGGGGAGTAATTAATCCTATCCATGTTTAAATGGGAAAAAGCCTTACAAATCCCAGCAGGTTCTGAAGCCAGCCATGCCTCACAGAATTCTGGGAAATTACTACATACTAACTGAACTTGAGTTCTGTGAGGAAGCCTGCTCTGACATCAAAGGATGCTTTATTTCCCGAGGATATGTTCAGAACTGTTTTCCTCCACTATGGGCTTAAGAAATGATGTCTGTTACAATCCTGTTTAACTACACTGGGGGCCTAAATTAAATCACTTTCTCCTGCATAACTCTTACCTGCAACGAACGCAGCACTCTCTTCAGCCCCTCATAATCTTTATCAGTCAAGGGACTGAGTACTGTCATGGCATCTTCTGTTGACTGACACTGCGGACAGACATACTCATCAATGAGATCTGCCTCACTTTGCAAAATACCAACGCAGCGCCCGTGATACCAATTCTGACATCGGTCACAGCCAATGTAAAATCTGCAAGATCCCAAAGAAGATGGTTAATATTCTTAATCCTATATGAAAATCTTCCACTGGTTAAAACCCCCTGAACTGTGTGAGGATCTGTTCCTCGAATTGGTATTTAAATTGTGAAGCAAAAGTGGCAGTATCACCAATACCAATCACAGTTAATCTCAAGTAACTGCAATATCTACAGACCAAAATTTTTAAAGCTGAAAGGAACAAAAGTGAAGCCAAAAGAAAAAAAAATCAAACATTATGCATTTGCATACAGAAATGCTACCAAAGGTTGCCCTTTCCTTTTCATCAACTATTTTGATATGCTATTAATATGCTGGTTCGAAATTGAAATTCGGAGCTCTGCATCTTATTATGAAAGGGGTACTCGTAAAAGAATATTACCCAGATACCCATATAATAGTTGCTTCTCCACTCTAAGCCCTCAACATTAATTGCATTTAATTATAAACTGCCCCCCGCCCCCACCAGCTACTGTATTTGGTTGGAAGCCTGCTACAACAGAACAGTAAAATTAGCCTGCTCTGAATATCATCACGTTTTATGGGCAATATTGGAAATCTCACTTTTCCTGTGTGGCAATTATATATGATTTCGAGCGACATTTCAAATATTTTCAAAGTCACATCACTAGATACAACATATGTTGAACAACACTTCTTTTTTGTTCAAGCAACACATTACCAAACTCAGAGCAGTTTGCTACCTAAATATCAAATAAGAGGTTCTTGTCAGAACTCACTGTGACTCATCATAAGGTGTTCTGCAGATACAGTACAATTCCTCACTGCTGCCCTCTTGTGCCCGTTTACACTCATTACAGATGTACACATCCATTTTCTTAGCCTCCTTTTCTGTGATTCCAACACATTCTCCATGATACCAGTTAGTACAAAGATCACAGCCAATATAGAACCTAAAAGTATTTACAATGAAAATGACAATGTAATTGTCATTTCAAATGGCATGCCACTTGCTAACCTAGTTCTTTGAAAATTTCTCCCTCTGTCTCCCTAGCCACATCAACCTAGCCTTCTGAACCTAATGTCTCAAGCTGACGTTATGTACATGGATCTACAGGGCCTGCTTCCACAGACAGTTGTGCTTTAAAAGTAGGTCAGCTGATATGAACTGAACTCTGAAAAATGCATATGTCTCAACTGTGAATGCACAAAGACAAGGCCAAAGAAAAAAAGATCTACATTTTCAAAACTGTAGCCAAGAAGCCACTTGAACACAGTGGCAAGTCACATACAGTATTTGTAAATGTAGGCCTCGATTTTAAAAACAAAGCAAAGCGCAGACACAACCAGAAGTTACAAGTACACTAAAAGGAGCATGCATACCAGCCATGTGTAAAAAATACATATTGGTATAACATGACATGAAAGAAAATGGGACAAGTAGATGTAATTTTTAAAATCCTAAGAAACTGCCTGAAATTGGTGGAATTGGATTCCTCAAACTGAAAAATGTGAACAAAGTGTGTTTATTCACAAACTACACTATGCAGCAAATCAGATACAGTTTGGTAAGGCCCTAGGTTAAAAACCATCCAATTCTGTCCAGAACCTCACATTGGTTCAGTTGGCCGATCTACCATGGGATCGTATCCAAAGTAAAATCTGACTCCCAAAAGGATGGAAAGCTGGGCCTGTGACTTGAATGTGTCTGTGGCTTTGTAAAGACAATATCCAGCACTTGTCTGGTTTCATGTAAAGGAGCCACAAGCTCAAGCATTGCACATTTTCCTAGCTCACTGTAATTCTCTCCTTTCATATCATCTCTGGGGTACCATATACACCTGAACTGGCAAACTATGGTTTTAAATGTAAACCATTTAAATGTACGGTTTACCTCAAACCAGTAAGGAAGGAACTGCAGTATGTGAGGGAAGAAAGGAACACCCCCCCGCCCCCCGCCCGGCTCATTCATGCCTGGTTTGGAATAAATCTAATCTGAGCTTCTCTCTCAAAGCTCTACCTAGCATGTTTTGAGATATTCTTTGATTCATTCAACTCCTCTTACATTCTGTGTTGACATTTGGCCTAACACATAACTACTTTTACAGTAAGGCTTAGTATGTATTCCCCATCTCAGCAAAGAGGTAAGAGTATCTTAAAACATTTACTGTGAATTTCATTTAATATCAAAAGACTTTCAGTGCAGTATTTTTGAAGAACCTACTCTGCCATGGATCTTTCAAGAGACTGATACCCCAAATGGCCACTGTTTGCTCTACTTGTCTCCCACTTAAGTCAAAACAAACTTTTACTAAGTCTAAACAAACTTTGCTACAGAAACCCCAAGCATAAAGAAATGGCTGCTAACAGTACACAATGGGTTGGATCCAATCGTGCCATTCCACAAATGGAAGAGAAGTGGCTAGAGAAATACACTTCTCCTAGATGCAGCCCTGCCCCCAAAACCACTTTGGAGAATTGGACAACTCTCCAGAGACTTTGGGGGACCACAGGAGAGAGGACAGAGAAATCTCATAGTACTAGTGGACATCTGCCCAGATGATGATGGATCACACCCAATGTTCAAAATCTAAAGTAGTGTGAGTAGAATGCTGATCTGACAAGATGTTTTCCTGCCTCTGCTACACAGTGGAGCACCCTGAACTCCACCCCACTTGATTCTGGAGAGTCCCCTAACTGCCAAGAGCAGCAGTGGGGATGAGGGGGTAGGAAAGCCTCAATGGGATCCACTCTAACTGCTCTTAATCCTACTTTAGGACTCAGGATTAATTTTCCTGGCTTACTTAAATCAACATCTTAAAATACTTAATATATCACTGTCATGCTTGAGTTGCAATTAACTTCACCCCCTAAGTCAACTTTGCACTGCATTTTAAGTGAAGGGCATAATTTTAGCCAGTGCAGAAGGAATTATCAGTTCCCTTCCACGTCATCAATAAAGCCCAAAGGATGAGACCCCAACACAAAGCAACAAATAGCCTAACTAATAATTCTTACTGACCACTAATCTGTAAATTATCTGTGGTTACAAATTCCCTTAGAATTATTCAGAACTGAAAAATGGAGTACCTTTCTCATCTTTTTGATTTGCAAGGGAGGTACTATTTTATGTATTAAGATACCAATTTGTAAAGGAACTACACCCATCAAATCTGCAGCTTTCATTAGAATGAATGGCAGTTTCATAGGAAGAGAGTTTGGTGTATTATGTTTAGTTTAAAAAATGAATGCCTTTTCATCCAAGTGGTTACTTTCAAATGGTTTGGAACAAAACTTAAGTCATACTTATGAGTAGACCTGGCTGCTCTTAGGGCACAATTCTATGCACACTTAGACAGAAAAAAGTTGTAAAACTCCAGCATCCTGGCATGTTGGGAGTTGTAGGACTTGATTCTGTCAGAACATGTGATTGTACCCTTGGTCACAATTAACTTAAACCCCACTGATTTCAATTTGTGCACTCGACGTATGAACCTATCTGGATCCAACTCAATGTACAATCTCAATGGAATAATTTATCTATATTTTCAGTAGTTTATGATGAGCCTGTTTGCATGTCACAGCAGCACTTCTTGTTCTGTTTAACCCTCGTGTTGTGGGGATGAATGAAATGCTCAGCCCCTACACTTATTTCCTTTAATTAACAAGCCAGTTTCTGGGTTGTTTTGTTATGTGTGAACCTGAAAATAACAAATCATGCACAACTGTTGGGTCAACTCCACAGTGTTTAAGTCATAAGCACACCAGAGTTTCTAAGTTTGTGCATCACAAAATGACAAAGGAACTGGATTGCTAAGAAAAAGCATAAACAAGCATGCAGCACCAATCCAGGAACTTGCACATGGTGGGCATGTCGTGAGCGGAGCTGGCTGGAGTTGGGGGTCAGACTAGATGGCCCGGGAGGCCCCTTCTGACTCGCTCTGTTTCTATGTTTCTAATTTCAGCTGTGATGCATATTGCAAACTAGGTCAATTATGTATAAGCAGACATTTGCCTGTATCACAACTGTTATGCCATTTTCAAAAGAAGCCTCTTTGAGTTCCTAAGGGGCTACTCTCAAGGAACAGGAAGGCAGCTAAAATTTAATATATGAAGTGGTAACTCTTTACACCTCTACAATAGTGTACTTGCTCATTCTGCTAGATTACAATGTATGTTTTAATTCCTTTACATGCTGTAGTCCAGAAAAAGTATTTCTCTAAGTCAAGTTCTAACCTCTGCTAAATGTAGTATTATACAACAAAGCCAGAGAATTCAGCCTTCTAGGATATAAATCTTTGTATGACCATTCACAGAGCTTCCCCCTAAATAGACTAAATTAAGAAATGCAGACTGACCATCTTTACATGCATGTTTCCCTCTAATTTTGAATAGCTGAAATAGCTGTGTAAAAATTCTAGTACTGACATCAGTTTCTAGCAGCCATAAAATTGCCTGTATTTCCCTGTCCAAAACAAACAAAACAAAAACCCACAACTGTGGCAATTTGCCAGACATTTTTTGAAAAGAAATGCCTTTATTTTGACAGCTGTCAAAAGAGATGTTTGTGAAAAGGGAAGAGGCCTTTTGAGCCTCACTTTTCCATGTCTCTATTTACTTGGGAAAGTGAGAAAAAGGTGGGATACATTGGGAACTATGGGGAAAACATTAAAAACCCCAAGGAACTCAGTATACAGAAGGAAAAAAGTCATTGCCTCCTTTATGAACAAAGATCCCTCACAGGCTTGCTCTCCCTGGGCAGCTCTCTCTGACTACAGTAGCAAAGGGAGCTCTCTGCAAGCTCTCTCAACATACAGGGTAGGTACCTGCTACAGTTTGCCAACATGCATTTACCAGGATGGTGCCAGGCAAGCCTTCCCACTTCTGTTATCCAGGGTTGCACAAATGCATTCCTCCAGAAAAATGCCCCCCCAAATTTATGGAACTATGTGCACGCATTTAGTTGTGCCAGCCTCCGCCCCCATAAAATAAGCAGAGAAGCAATGACAGCCCCTCTGATGTACTTGCTGCTCAGGCATTGGGGGGGGGGGATTTTGCTTTGACTTTTCATTAAAAGGGAGGGGCAGGGAACCGGGGGGGGGGGGGGGGGGGGGGGGGGAGCAAAGGAGGGAAAAAACACAGCATGTTCAGACTGGCCCACAATTGGACTGGGGAAATGAGACAAGGCAGCTTCAGCTGCCAAGTCCTCTAGGAGGGGGAAGGAGAGGAGAACAACCAGCCGTAAAACCAATCATCTGCCAGGGGCATCGTGGGTTGTTCAGCAAACAACCAACCTGCTGTTGGTTATTCGCAGAGTAGCTTACCGTGACGTGTGAACCAGGTTCATAGTTGAAGTGCCAATTTTGATACTTTTAGAAGAAGTGAACAGAACTTCGTTTCCCTAAAAGGACATTTCAGATGCTACTAATTTTTACCGCTCATGAGTCTTAATCTATAGTGGCCAACAAGTGAAAAGCTATTTCCAGCCTATTAGACCTATTCTGCCCAGTGTACTCTAACGTATAATAAGTTCTCTTTTCCGCTTTATTATTAGGTGTAAAATATTTCATAGAAAGCTGTAGTTCTCATTATGTTAAGTGTGCTGAGTGCTTGGTTTTAAAAGTAAAGCCTAACAAGTATTAAAGCATTTAAGAGGAAATAATTTGGAACATCAAGCAAAAGGTCCTACAACACAGTAATCTGGGCTATATGGAGCTGAATCCAGAGCTTGTCATGCTGTGAGCAGGCCCAATGAAATCAATGTGACTTGTATTAGTCATGAGCAACCTCCAGTGAAGTCAGTGGATCTACTAGTAAACACAACTAAGCTTGGATCCAACCTAATGAAAATTAAGAGAATAGATGTTTACCTCCCATTTGGAGATTTGTTTTTAGTTATAAAATTTATTCCCTGAACTGTAAAAAAAAATTCCTTCCCCAGGGCAGAAACACAACCCACAAATACAGAATACTCAGAGCCTGCCAAAGAAAAGAAGGCTGGTCTATAATTCTTCGCTTCCAAAGAGGCAAAAGGACAAAGGAAAGAGTAAAAGCAAATAAAAGATGTGCAATGTGAGACAGATCATACAATGGAAACATGCAAATAGGTAAAATATGAATCACAAAAGCTCACGGACTGGAATTTAAAAATACAATTCTGAGTGCTCAAATCTTCAGTATCTCTAAGTGATTGACCTCTAACTCCCAACCCCATCATAATCTTCCCCACTACTAACTAAATGCTAAATCTAATCTAGGTTTGATACAAATGTGCAACATTCACTACTCACTTAGACTCATCGTAAGGTGTCTTGCAGATGCAGTAAAGCTTTGTGTCCTTCTTGGTTTCCTTTGAGGTAGTAGAAATCATTTTCTTTTTCTTGGATTTTGAAGAGGAGGACTCCTTCTCTTCCTCTCGCTTTCTCTTATGAGATGAAACAGATGTTGTGACTGTGGTTGTTGATGAGACACTGGTAGTATGTGGTGGAGGTGGTGGTGGAGGAGGAGGAGGTGGAGGAGGAGGTGGTGGTGGTGGTGGAGGAGGAGGTGGTGGTGGAGGTGGTGCTGCCACCGCTGCTGCAGCAGCAGCGGCTTGTGCCTTTTCTTTTTCCCGCTTAAGTTTAGCCAGATCTTTCTTTAGCTCTTCCTAAGGTTAAAAACAGAAAAGTAACCCACATAGACACTACCAACAAGCAGTCAATCTTAATTTGTACAATCAAAGTCAAACCATAACATAAAATCAAACTATGGAAAGGACACAGGGCTAGTCGAAATTACTGCAAGTGTGTGTTTTCTATGTTCTGATACTGTGAGCTCCCCTAAGAAAGATTTCTTGGACCACAGAAGAACTTCCAGGCACTGTTAAGAAACTGGAAATCAACTTGCTACAATGGAAAGAATAGGTCAGACATGAATTCTAAGTTATAAGAAAGAAGAAGATTTAAATTTGACCATGTGCATACCAACAGCATTCAGGTGGAATTCAGCTGATGACAAATCTCTGCTGTTTTAAAGAGAATGGAGTCCAATTTATCAATATACTATATTATTGATCAATAAGTATATATATATGTGTGTGTGTATATCTGAATATATTTAAAAGTTAGCAGCGCTGTGTTTTCATATTCATGTGTGTAATTTGTGTCAACCTGGTCTTCATTTCTGGAGCCTAAACAAGTGGATCTAATCAACAAACTAAATTAAAAAAGAATTTAAGCTATAAAAAGTCTTATACAGAAATGTGCATCTTTAATACAGGGGTGAGCAAATATGGCCCATTGCTGCATGCTGTCTTCACTGAAATTTGTGGCAATCCCCCCACCCCCAAGTTTGGTGCCAATTTCAATGGAAAACAGTATGGTATGTTAAAATGGCTGTTTTTGGCCACTGCCAAAAGGCACTGGCAGCAAAAGTGAGGCCTGCCATGCACGTGTGTGTGCAGCACACACACATGAAAGTCTCCCAAAGTTGCCCATCCTTGACTTAGTCTGTGGCTATTTGAGATTTAACCCACACACTTGAGTCAAGATTGGAAATCAATTTAAAATCCTGTGGAGTTTTATTAGGTGCCTTTTTAACACCTGCAGCAAAAATATGACTCAAAGAAAGGATAAAAGGATAACGAAGAAACAATAAAAGGTCAGTGTGGGAGCTAGCAAGCAGTTTTCATACAATCACAGAATAATAGCGTTGGAAGGGGCCATGAAGGTCATTGGGTCCAACCCCCTGCTACTGCAGGACACCAAGTTACACCATCCCACTCAGATGGGTGTCCAGTGTCTTTCTGAAAGTCTCTAGTGTGGGAGAACCCACCACACTTCACACAGAGAAAAGTCAGTCAAAATGTCTTTTTCATATGGACAAAAGTCAGTTAAGCATTTTAATAATGTAGTGCCCTCCAACAAGATAATTAACGGAATGACAAACTGCTATTCCACAAGCATGTGAAACATTTACATTCAACTAATTACTATCCTGTTTTGTGTAAAGCTGCATGAAATATCACTGTATCAAATCTACCTAATATGGTCCAATTATATATTGCAGCTGAAATAAGCTAAGAGGTCATTCAGGCTATCAATCCAGACTGAGGATCTTGGAAAAATGTGAAATACAATGCGCCTAGGCATTAAAGAAGGCATATGGTTTAAATTTAGACCCTTTTTTTACTGAACATTTAATCTGCATGCACAGGGCCTTGAAATCTTTGGGGTGAAGGCACAGCTTATAAAATTTCCAAATTATATCCCCCCCCCCCCCACACACACACACAGAGGGGGGGGGGCAGAGAAAAAGAATGTGCACAGTGGGAAGTTTAGGTCCATACTTGACCTGATTCACTCAGTCAAACCTGTGGGGTGTTTAAGCCATAGTAGACTGTGCCTACTGAGTGCGATTTGCAAACTCAACACCTGGACAAGGCTTGTGTTGCGCAAACCCAAGGACCATGGTAAAAGGTAAAACAATTTTTGCATAACACAACTACATACCATGGCTTAGACAAGGATTACTTAACCCTTGCTTAACCCAGAGTGCCTGGAGTCACACTGAATATTTCAAATGGCAACTCTTGGCCACACTGTGGCTTAAATAAACCAGGGTAAGCAGTTTAATCATGTGAACCAGGCCATTTTTCTTGCAAATTCAAAACAATGAGGTAAAAGAAATACACAGAAGGCTCAAAATGTATAAGCAAAATGAACTAAAGACAAGATTTTTACCTGCACTTCAATCTGTAGATCTTTGTCCAAAAGTGCTCTTTTCTTCAGTATTTCAGCTTTAAGTTGTTCCTTATGTTTGAAGAGCAGAGCTGAAAGCTTGGTTGCATTCTGTTTACTACGTTTTTGTTCTACACTCTCTTCTCGCTTTCGTTTCTTAGCTGCCTGTTTTTCTTCTTTATCTATCTTATCAAGAATATATTTCATTACCTGGTTACACACAATCATTCTGCAAAAGAAGTACAAAGAATATAATTAAGAAATGATTAATAAGGAAAGGAAGACTATGTTGATTCTATTTGATCATTAAATACAAATAAAATTAGCTTTAAAATCATGGCTAAAGCCTCAGGGCATTTCAAGAGGAAAAGGAAAAAAAATCTGACAACTAGTATAACATAGAACTTTTCACAGTTTCTCCTATGTACATCATTACCTATTTAGCAGAACAGCCCACAACATGTACAAACAACACTCTTCTTTCCTTCCCACTTTCCTTTCCTTTAAAGAACATTTATTATTAGATGCAAGGGAATGGTGAAAGTAAAGACACTTGGAACAATTTTCTGCTATCCAATTCTGTAACACTGTAAATACAGGTTTCTTTTATTTAATTATTAAGTAACTACTGCAGAAAACTAGAAGAATGGGTTCCAAGCAGTTACTTCACAGAGTTCCCTGGCTTTTAATACTGTTACAATCAGTTCCATAAGGATGGTAGCATACCATGGGATACAGCAGTTTCTCTTAGATCTTGTGCTTTGCTAAAGTGGTATTTTCCCTTTCTTCAGCCTGGCCTAGTGTTTAAATCTCCTTCAAGGTTTAAGTCATAACACATGTTCTGCTGGCAGGAGCATCCCCTTAGCAAAGCTGCACTCATGGAATGGTCCTACTGGCAGAAAAGCAGGAAAGGAAATTTCACCCATATCCTGTCCCATCTGAAGCCTCTTGCACCTAGCATGTCCTGAGCCATGGGGCTGGGGTGCCACAGGAGGCTGCGGGGGAATAGAAACATGATGAAAATCACCTTTGCCCTCTTTTCCTCCAGAGGAATCTCCTGCTGGATCCAAGTCTCTGTCAAGGACAGGAGCTCTTCTGTTCACCAAAGAGAACTCGGGATCCAACGCACTCTGCAGATACTACAGTGGCTGATATCATACAGGAATTGCTCATGCAAACAGACTGCTCAGGGGACAATTCCTTGTGTGACTCAATTGGTTGTAATGTCTGCACTAACACTGGTTCAGCAGAAGTACTAAAATGTATCTCCCCCTTCCTCTGCATGCTCACATAATCGTTTGTCCTAAATCCACCTGCCTTACCGTTGATTCTCTTCACGTTCGGCAGGAGTCAGTGTCTTTTTCTGTTTTAAGTGCTCTATCACAGCATTGTGTTTCATTACCACCTTCAAGACAGGAAACAAATCCAATATATGAAAACTTTAGAGAGCAAGCAACAACAACATGGGAAATCTGGGACATTTCCAACCTCTAAGTAATTGTAAACCTGAGTGCCACAGAGACTGAACACGACGTGCCTGAGAAAGTGAAAATGGTCTTCACTTGTTCAGCAGTTGCCCGTGCAATTCTGAGAAAGGGAAGTAGGAGCTCTTGCCTTCCTCTGAAGCAAACTTGTAGAGTTCTAAGATGAGGAAGGAGCAGAAGAAGTAGAATACTGGCTGCAGAGAAAAAGAGTTGGGAGAGAAAGACTGGAACAGGGAGAGAAGTTTGCTCTGTGTCGCAGTTCAGGAAGATTAAGAAAAGCTTTCAAAAGAGCTTTTGAAGGAAGACAGTAGGAAGGCTGTGAGGAGGCTTTATATGGTATAGTGGTGTCATCAGAGATCAGGGGAGAAAGTTGGAGGAGCCTATCCAATCTGGAACCCCAGAGGATCAAACTAATACCCCAGGAAGGGGTTGGAAGGCTCTGCACCTCTGCTTTAACTATATGTTTGAGCCTTTACTTCAATTTGTTCCAGAATGTTACAATGTGGTGCTTTTGTACAGATTCCTCAAAATCTTTTAGCTACCTAAGCATTTTGCAGCAAGAGAGTTTGCTGCGCAGAGCTTTTTTTCTCAAGTCCATTCCAAATATTCTGTAACACTATGTGAAGTCTCTCTTCTGTAGTAACAAATACACTGCAAAGACCTTGCAACAGACCAAGCAAGCAAATCCAAGTCTCTTCCCTGTGACTGGAATACACTCTTGGGATGTGCTAAACAATGACCTAAGCAGTAGCAAGTGCTGTAAAATGAAGACATATTTAGAATATTTGCTACATTCAAAAGGAGAGATATGCAACAGGATTTCATATAGGTACAGTGCTGAGATCTTATCAACAATCACAGCCAGAACGGATTCACGGATATGCATGAAAGCATGCAAATGTTGTGAGAACTGAAACACTCGTTTCTTTTTGACAGTTTTACCTGTTTCTGGATAATGTCGCTCTGATTAGATGCCTGAAGGGAGTGTTCGCGCTTAATTTCAATATGCTGCTTTTTCTTCTGTTGCTGCTCTCTGAGCTGCTGAACCCTTTGCAGTTGCTCTTGTACACTGGCTGCTTGAACAGTCACAACATTCTGGATCTGATGCGTTTGCACTGGGCCAGCTTGCTGGATCTGAATAGGCAGCTGAAGCTTAATCTGCTGAGGCAGACCCCCTTGCTGGGCCTGTATCTGTGCCACGACGTGGGACTGAAGCTGGGAGAACACTTGGACTTGCTGCTGAAGCTGTGGCACAGTGATAACCTTAGTCTGCGGAGGCTGGATTTGGAGCGGAGGGCGTGGGGACTGCACCGTGACTTGACTGACGGTCGGCAAAGTCTGCACAGATGTGGGAACCTGGGGCTGCTGCGTCTGGATGTGTAATGGCGGATGGGGCTGTGCCTGAACTGGCTGCGGGGTGGTGCTCTGCAACGGAGCTGGCTGCACAGTCTGAGCTTTTGATGGCGCCTGAGAAGGCACAGCTGCCTGGGTCTGGCTGGGGACCAGCACTGAAGGAGGCCCTTGCGTAAGGCTCTGTGCGGGAGCCTGAGCAACGGCTGGAGTGACAGGTGACTGCGTGATGGGTGGCGGTGCTTCAGAAGCAACTGTGGGGCTTGGAAGTGAAGCTGGAGGCTGAGATTCAGGGGGCGCTTGGGTTTCAGCCTGAAGCAGGGACTGAGGTGGCTGCGGCGGTGGTGGTGGTGGCTGCGGCTGCAGCTGCGGCTGTGCTGGAGTCTGAGCCTGAGGCTGGCTGCTCTGGGGCTGCCCATGTGGCTGGGTTGGGAGCTGACTCTGAAGTGGCTGGGGTTCTGTAGGTGGAAGCGCTGGCACTGGCTGTGTTTGTGTCTGGGCTAGAGAAGGTGGCTTCTGTTCTCCTGCAGCTGGGGAGAGAAGAAGCATGCCTCACGGTCAGAGCCAGAGTAGGAACAATCTGAGAAACACCTTCCCTTCTCTGGCTTAAAGAGTTCTCGCAGCATCTTATCCAACCCTTTGAAGCCTGGCAACCCTTTCCAAGTAACAATCCTTTTGCCCTATTTAAAATAAAAATCCTACCTGATGTTGAGGTGGAAACTGTTGTAGTAGTGGTGCTCGTCGCAGTAGCTGCTGTTGGTAATGGGGTGAACAGAAATCGCTGAATTGTACCGTTTGGCATAGCTGCTTGCATGAGTTGCTGCCCTGGTCCAGGGATTACTGTGACACCCTGTGGGATCAGCTGCAATTGGCCAGTGGTTTGACCCTGCCCCTGAATTACTACAGTCAAACCCTGACTGCCACCCTAAAAGGAAAGAAAAAGAAAGAACACTGTGTTATGAGCTGGGAAACTAATGGGACTTAACATGGGCTTTGGCACCTGAATTGTCTATTTAAAATAAGGTTTTCTGAAAAATTAATCTGTGGCACCAACAACACATAATTAAACAGACAATATTCAAGGCTGTCACAGAACTGCTCACTGTCAGGAAGAAATGAAAAGATTCTGATGTGAATCTTTACCTTAAATTACAAGTATTTTAAGAAAATTATCTTCTTGTAATGCATATTCAGCAATATAATTTAATAGAGCATTCAAAATTGGCTATGGATTTGTTGAACACATACATTCTAATAGCTATAATTAAGGGATGTTTGCAAGCCTATAATCAGGACAGAAAGCATTTCAGTTCTAGGTTCTCCAGTAGGCAGCACAGCACTTAGAATTTTTTTATGCCCTCTGCTGTCGAATGAGAACATTTTACTAAGACAGATGAACATCTTGTTCAACAGGTCTAAAGACACAACAAGGTGAAAAGCCCTTAATATCATAATGCTGAGATTGGACCAAAGGTTCATCCATTCTCACTCTCTGTTTGCAATAATGGCCAGCTGTGGACTGTAGGAGGGCGTAATATAATATCCAGGTCTGTTTCCGAGCTGAGCAGGGCTGTTAAGCAAAGGAGATTTGGGGGGCATTCATTCATAGGGTCACCATAAGTCAGAGACAACTTGATAGCATGCAACGACAAAACTCATTTCCCCCTAGCAAACAGATGCATGGTGCCTCTCACCTTAACCTTAATAAACCTTAAGGTGATAAACCTTAACACTCATCAATTAAATAAAAGAAACATTTCCACTTTATCAAAAGCACATCTTAGTGGAAGAACAATAAGTACTAATGATATGCCCTGGTTATGGAAAACAATATGGAGGCATGTATCTTACTGAAGAGTAAACCAAATTTTGGATAGCCATGTGTGAACAATTCTTCCTTTTCTTTTACTATATCAAAGGGATAGAATCGACTTAAAGAAACAGCCTGGGTTAAGCCCACTTACTTCCAGAGGAAGAGCAAAGAGGTTCCTTCATCTCGCACATTTTCCAGATTCTTTATAAAAATGTAGCAGAAGGCATTATATTAATGTTAATTTTCTATCATTGTAAACCTTTGTAAATTCAGGTGTTAATTCAGAAAAGCTGTTTTACATGGGAAGTTATTAATATTACATTTCTAAGCGGAAATGCACAAGTACATGAAAGCTGTTTCATCATGAGCCACATGTGACTGCTTACCTGTCCTTGTGTGAGCTGCGTGAGCTGCGCCATTGTAAGTTTCACCTGACCCTGCTGAGGACGGGGAGGGTGTGGTGGCGTGGCCTGCGGCGGCATGTGCTGTGAAGAGGTTCCCGGGGTTGAGGGTATCTTCTGACTTGTAGAAACTGTGGTAGCACTAGACACTGCTGTGGAAACAGGCTGGCCTCTAATGATCTGGGTCACCACTTGCTGGGGCTGGCCTGTACAGAAGTGGAATTCATAGTCTTACAAAACTGTACGCAGCACAAGAACTCTTACTGAAAAAGTAATTGGTACTGACTATATCAATAATTGGTACTCCATCGTTCTCGACTAACAAGATCTTAGTGTCCACTGATTAGTAAAATCAATGGTCTGTTGACCAGAGAATCAAAGTCACATGCCTCCAAATAACTGGAAATACTCTGTTTGGAAACAGGACACACCTAATAGCCAAGTATTTCATTGCAATATTCTTCACCATACTGTATTCTAATTACAGTGCAGATCAGAATCTGCAGGAGGCAGTGATTGGACCTGACATTCCAAGGGGCTTCTGCATCTGCAGTTCGAAGAGGCCTCCAATGCTGTGTGATTATCTGCCTCTGAAGCAGAAGGGACTTTCAACAGCAGCAGCTTGTGACGAATGCCAGCTGTTCAATGAACAAAGGTCACAGACTCTACTGCATTAATGCAAGCCCCTTGCTGGAGTCTAAGCAGCTATCTGGATCTGTTGTTCCAGATTTTCTGTTTTAAACAGCAAATATGACTACCCATAGCAAACCACAGTATGGCTGCTTGTTCTTTGATTAGCACTGTTAATCCTGAACCCTTTAAAATTACATTTCAGCAGAATTTAACACAAAGCCCCCAATATGATTATGTTTAAACTAGTATGGATGATACAAAAATGGTCTTAAAATGAAGACACAAACCATGGGTTTCGCACACAGGAATTTAAAAATCAAAATTAACCTACTGGCTGGAAGAATACCTTGCTGAACCACTACAGGTGTTCGAATGATGGTCTTTCCTAATGCTGACTGCTGAAGTGGTGTCCGTATGACAGTCATCCCAGGTCGCAGAGGTGTCCCAGGCATTACCTGCACAAGTTACCAGGAAAAATTAAGCCTTTTCTTGTACTGAGAATGAACACAGGTGTGCAAAAACTGTACTTCTGTACTGACTGAGACTGATCCATGGACATAAAAAGAAGGCTCCAAACCAAACTTCTTAAAACCAGTATAGTTAGTATTTCTGAAAAAGCTGAGTTCCTTTATCTCTAATTATGCCTTTGTTTTTCTGAACATCCCAAGTATTTTTTTCATGAAGTTTTATTTCCCTATAAGCTGACTCTCTGGCAGCTTTGCGATAATAGAATTCTTGCACTGCTTCTATAAAAATAAAGCCACATAAAAACATATTTAAAAAGGAAAGGAGACAAAATGAAAGGTATAAAAGTAAAACTTAAAGCAGGAGTGGGCAATCCTTGTGTGGTCAAGGGCCATTCTTTGGGTGGAACCTGACAACAGTGGATGGCTTCAAGGCAAAAGTGGGCACAGACATCACTTTCTCCCTCAATACTCTTCTATCCATCCATTCTCTCCTTTGTTTAAACTCTCTCCCTCCCTCCCTCCCTCCCTCTCTCTAACACACACACACACACACACACACACACACACACCATTGCTCCCTCTCTCTGTCCTCAGTGAGCCAGCATCTGGTTTCCTCCAGTTCCTCCCTCTTTTCTATACATGCACAGCACTGAAATTCCCAAAGGGCTGCTCTAGCTGCAATACTCTATAGTTGGGGTACAAATACACTCCCCCACCTTTCACTGCAACAGTGCATGGAGAGGGGGTACCATGAGAATGCCTGACTGCTTGCCCACAGACTCTTCTCTGCAAGGACAAGTGCCCTACCTTCTCTGGCAGCAGCAAGGTCGGGGAGGGGATGTGCAAACTGGCTACCATCGCCATAAAATGAAAAGCTCTCTAGGAACTTTCTTCAAGAAACACTACTGAATCTTCCACAGCTAAGGAATAAGCACCTAATGATTTAAGGTGACTTCCTGAAACTGATTATTCACTGAAAGGCACTCTAAGGAAACCAAGTATAGGAAACTGCAAGGCAGCAAACTGAGCTGCATTTGAGTCAACTCAGAAAGCACCACTCCAATGGGCTGTCACAGGCTGCATCCATGTGCTGCACACTGGAGACCTCCAGTTTACTTACACTCCACAAATGCAACGTTTTTAATAAGCCTCTAAAATCTGGAACTATCTCAAAGTGGTTCAGGAGTATCCTAAAATAACAATAAAAGGGAAAAAAACCTAATCTTACTTGTGAAGCACTTGTTGTACATACTGCCCCTGTATTATTTGGCCGAATAGTTACAGTTGCTGTCCTAGGCTGGAATGAAGTAAATGTTTGTTGGTTTGCTCCAGTGGTTGATGGAATGATGCCCAACACTTTCTGCTGTACTTGAACGACACCTATTGGGAAAATAATTCAATGATTTAAAAACAGCATTAGTCACAATTAATAGCCTTGTATTCTCCAGGTTATGCAACATATTTTGCAGAACGTTTTTTTTAGTTTTGAATAAAAGATGTGAAAGCTTTTCAAACATTTTGAGGAAGCTTTATTTATAAAGTTGTAGGCCCCCTTTTAGGATGAACTTGCAAAGTTTGTCCTTTCATGAAATTGCCTATTCATGTACTTAAAAACAACACTGTACTTCAAATTTCTATACAACTGAAGAAAATGACAAAGTGACTAGAGCAGCCTGAATTTCAAACTCTCACAAGGATGTTGATGAGTATGTTGTACTTTTGCTAAAAGGGAATGTTGGAGGGAGTCTCCAAACATCTCAGGGCTTTTGACACGCAAAAGATCAGGAGGAGCCTAAAAGATTACACATTTTTCAACCTGGGGCAAACCTTTTCTGATCTTCACCACAGATAAGAGATACCTTGGCACAGTTATTTAGGCTAATCAGTTTCCTCACCTAATGAATTATATTATGATAGTTAAGATGGAAAGGAGGGATTCGTTCTGGGGAGAGAAAAGTGCAGGAGAGGCAGCACAAGATTCCAGAGCTCAGTCTTGACTTTCTAACCTTAAGGAAGTCTGTAATTAATACAACTTGCACCCTTCCAAGATGTTGCACCTCTTCTGATCAAGGTGACCAAAACGGGCTAATACACTTACAGTATTAGAACTCCACTGGCAAACAATGCTAATATAACTGATTCCCAAAATAGTGAAGGAAATTTGCAGTCCTTCCATTAAGAGTATGAAAGCAGATAAGTGTGCAACAGATCTAAAAAGATGATAGCTGCAAAGTTAAGGAGGTCAGCAAAGGGATAAAACAAGATATATAGGATCATGAGAACTAATTTCCTCCGAATTTCTTCCTATTTTAAGAAAAATATCATATATCATTTTGCTAGGAAAAAATCCAAATACAGTAGCATTCAGATGTTCATGGCATTTTCCTACCTCCTTGAGTGGCTGGCACATTAACAGCAACAATCTTGCTATTTGCAGGTAAAGGCAGCTTTGTTATCACTTTGCCTGCCATAGTTACAGGGCTGCTAGCAATCTGAAAAGTCTGCCCGCTGCTGGAAATAGTTGTTGCTGATGTAGCAGTTGTGGTTGTGGCTAATAAAACAGAAATGGTGGTCAGTTCCTAAGAGCAAGTATTATACCATGTAACCAATGCTATGGTTGCATCTTAAAATGGATGGGAGAAGGAAAAAAATGAGGTTTATGAAATTATAAATTACTGTGACCACGAAAAAAGAAATAACCTGTTTTAAAGCCTTACAATAATGATCATTCTGGGGGTTGTACAGAGAATATTTTCAGAATGTGCAAAAAGACACAATACTTCACAAGATGCAATATGATCACTAACCTAGGTATACACCCATGAATTAAAGTGCATGTGAAAGGGAGTGAAATGAAACTGTGAACAGGGGAGCACTCTATAGTGCAAAATGTGCAGAACCCATTCCTTACATATATTACTAGCAAGCTCAATTCTCTCAGTTCTTGTGTAATCAAAGCAGCAGCAGCATCCATACACAAAAGGGAGGTGTCAGCAGGCTCGTGGGAGCCCTAAGTTTGGTAGATGTACAAACTATCTTTAGTGGAAGAAAAACCCAAGGTGGCAGAGGCGGGGAGAAATTCCAGGACAGACCAATGTCGACCAAGCAGGTTCAGCGGCCACAGAATATAGGTTAATGCGGGAAAAATACCCAGAAAAACAGTTGGGGTGGGGACAAACAATGGGGCATCCTGAGCAGGAACAAAATGTTGTTGCCAGTCCCACTTATAAGTAACCAGGAAAGCCAACTGGAACTCTCCATTCAGAAGCAGTATGCAATAGAACATTTGTGAGTTCCTTAAGTTGGCGCCATTAGCATTCCCATTTATGACCACTATGTATTGTTTTGAGTTTCCCAGGGTACTTGACTATTTCCTCTAGGAGACAAAGCAGTGGGATAGATGGACCTCTGCTTGATCCAGCAAGGCCTTTACACCATTAAAAGGAGCAGCACACCCTTCCCGTGACTGTGTTGATCACTAGTATATTTCAACAGAAAAACTAGGTCCCTGTTTTGTCCCCAGTTCAACAATATAGCTGAAGAACGCAGCACCCGTCATACATCCAGACCCATGAGTGCAGGCAGGCGTTGCTAGATGTTCACGGGGAGGTTCTGATTATGAACTGGCTCTTCCAAGCAGAAGCTGTTCCTGTTGATTTGTGTAACCACAGGAAACATCCTGAGCTGCTATGTTCACATAATGGGAGTACAAATTAGGCACAGCAAAGTTTGTGTGACTCACTCCCAGCTGCAAGCTTACCACCAGTCTCCTACATTCCCGGAGACCCCTGCCAAGCATCCCTTGCTATATAAACCAGCTTCAATACCATTAATAAAAACCTGGAGGATGGAGTCAAATGCAAAGACTCACAGGAAGTATTTATTTTTGCTATGCCAACTGTTTACCTGTTGAAGGTTGACCTTGTTTAACCCAGGTAGCAAAAGTCTGATGGAAGTTCTTGTTCTGCTGGAATGTTACTGTAGCTGGAGATCCCACTTTGGTAGCAAGGACTACTTTGGCTCCAGTGGGCATAGAGCGTGGTAATGGGCCCACCACAACCTTCTGCGGAGTGGAAACTGTGGTTGCAGTGCTGCTAGTTGTCGTAGCTGTAGTGGCACCGCACACTGCAGGCAACTGCTTCTGCTGCTCCAGTCGCTTCTAGGAGAGTTAAAACCATGATCTGGTGAAGAACAGCTACATTTAGCCTGTTCGACAAGAGGAGCTCCCTCAAGGCAGAGCTTAAGTGTACTAAGGCTACAGTGATCTGATCACTTTTCTGGAAGCAGAAAGTCCTACTAAATAGTTTCTCGGTGAACATGCACAGGATTAGGCAGCATGCCTTGCAGGTCAGTATGTTAATTTCAAACAAGAGAATTTCCTAAATAAGAGATGCCAACGTAATCACAGTCATAGCTGGAAATTCGAAAGCTTCAAAGGAGGAGTGTTTACAGGAGGTAAGCAGAAGTCCTGAACAGATTGGCACTGGCATACAGAAGCAGTGAAGCAACTGAGCTACAGAGTAAGATGTGCCCAGCCGGAAGTGCTCTTCTGCTATGAACATACTAGGGGAGAACTTCAATGAGTCACTCATCTCAGCCTAAATATGCACCTGCAGGTCATAACAGAAACCTGCCTTAGGGTTTCAAGATAATAGTTGCCCCTCCACAAATGCAAGGGATCCTTTTGCTGGTGAAGGGAAGAGGGATCCAGCAGGACAGAGTGCTTTTTATCAATTCTTATTTTCCCCTTGCAACTCCCAACATCAGCCAAACCCCCAAAGGGGATTTTCAGAAGCAGGGGGCACTGCAGAGAGGAAGTAGGAATCGGCAAGAACTGCTCTCCCACTGAACCATTCAGTATGCATAGTTCTGCACAGGCCTGGATCCAACCTATTTTGAACTGTAAAAATGCACATCTGAACTATTTAAATATTAAATATTTAAGTTAAGTTGTCTTGCTGAAGTATGTTATGCTTTCTTATTTTATTTGTTTTTTGAAATGGGAGATTAAATATTTTTCATTGTTTTACAATATCCTTTACATTTAACAGGATATTACTTTTTAACATAGTATTTTGTTATCCATAAGCCTTTAAATGCCTGTATTATTTAATGTTATTTGATTATTCACCATTCCAGACACTTTGTGCAGAGGTGTGATTCAGAACCCTAAAACTAACTAATTAGAATACTTGGTTGGCTTTCCAATCTGTTATACTGAACCATATAACCTATGATTATATTATCAGGCACCCATAATAATGTGCTTTCAACAATTTACTTGTTTACCCTGGCTTTTTCCAGGCATTAACTTGTCTAAATGTTGTTGTGCTTTTATAACGATGTACTGTTTTATAATTTGTTGTAAAATTGCTTTGGGAGTTAAAAAGTGGGAAGCGGTATATAAATATTCTTATTGAAACAGTTTGATCTGAAACTGTGACACCTTGCCTGAGAGTGAATGTTTTACTAGAAATACATTCTACTGGCTATGAAAAATAAGCAGAACTGCTCTGTGGCATCATCTAAGATTTGGCAATAAGCCATTTTAAGCAGACCCACAAAACTGTATTATTTTAGAAGATATTTTAAGGCTTTCTCTGATCTTTTGTTTTTTCCTCATTTCTACTGCTGCTATTGATTTAGTCTTAATAATATTATCTTACCATACTGTAAGTTCCTTTAAGTCAGCATGTTAAGTACTATGTTGGATATACATTTAATTGTGTGTGTGTGTGTGGGGGGCAAGTGTTAAAAGGGCAATTGCAAAGCAAGGGCAAGTGTTCTAACAAGTTAGAGTAACACAGTGCTTTACTGGACAAACAGAAATGCTTACAGATTTTATCACAACATGCTAGTATCACAAGCAGCAGATTATAAATACAGATACAAAATTATACACAGAAATTAATCATTTAGCTTCCATTCCAACATAGAAGCATCTCTGATTCCACGCTTGGCAAGATGTACATTCTTTCCCTATCAGACTTAGGCAAATTAGGTATCCTAGCAACCTCCACCTTAATACCATTGTAAGAGAATATGGACTGGAATACTACACTGAGAGAAAACAGTCAAATTCCAAACTCGGTAAGATATAAAAAGCACACTGAATTAAAAATATGATATAGCATTATGGGTTTCCACTAGGGATCGGATCTTTTTACCCCCATGAAAATGTTTAAAAATGTATAAAAAAGAGACACTTCCATGTTTATTTTTGGCTGAAAAAATGAAAACTACGCAAACTTCAACAGGCGGGACTACTAAGAGGCTATCCCACCTGCTGGGCAGCCAATCGCTGTTGTTTTAGTTGAGCCTCCATTTGGGCCTTGAATTCCTCAGCCTTCTTCTGTTCACTAACCTTAGCCTGCTGCTCAACTGCTTGTGCCTTTTCCTTCTCCACTCTGCAAAAAGATAAACCATAATTACTGTGCATGTATTTTGTATCAATAACTCATTTTATATGACTTCAATCAATTCCCCAGGTTATTGCTATGCTGTATCTAAGTTCCATACTGCACTTCAACAAGTATTCATTCATTTGAGATACCTAGGGAAAATTCATGCAGCTAGATCCAGAATTTCCTCCCAAGAATAGAGACTCCTTCCATTTGTGGAAGAAATCTGAACCCCATGGAGACTTCCCACTGAAAAAAAGAGATGGGCAGTGATTTTTACAGATATCCCGTTCAATCCTCAGTGCCACTTCCAACATTGTTCTGGAAGAACCCCTCCTGAACAACCAGAAAAAGGTGGAGAGGAGACTGTAAAGCAAGCTGGAGAAAACTGTCAACCTGGCCCTTCCCTCGAGCATCAGCAGAACTCTCAAGGATGTCTGGATCCAACTCTGTGTGGCTGCATTCCCATAAAAAACATTCTGCTTCCTGTCTGAACTACCAGTAACCCCACAGCCACTGGCTGAAATTCTAATGTTTCATCAACTGAATTGCTGGAACAGGTGTCCCCAACCAATTTGGATTTGCGGTCACATCTGCAAATTTGAAAATTTGCTACACACACCACCATAAAATGCATAATCAGAGAATCACTGCTTTGACATTTCCCTAAAGCATCTGCTAAGCTTAGGATGAGTCCTCTTCTGCAAAAACTTTTTAAACGCAATATAACATCTTTTTAAAAGCGGCTGTCTAAAGGAGTGATCCTATGGCCCCTAATGTCTGAGATGTTGTAGGATTTTTTGGATTTCCAACTCCAACCTCAAAGCCAGAAAATGAGGTTCTGCCCTGTCTCACCACCTTGCATTTGGTGAGAAAAGAATCATGCCAGCTGCTCTCTGAGGTCAAGACAGCAATGTTGGACAAAGATATAAGCAGACAGGGAAGGGAGCTGACTGCAGAGGCCAGGATCTGAGGTATCCTGGAGCCACTCCAAGCTTCCTTCTAGACACTCCAGCAAGACCAGCAAAAAAAGTCAATTTAGCAGAAAATTCAGAGCAGGGGATTAGGAGGTAAAGAGTGCTGCCACTGCTGTACTGCTCTGCACTGAATGCCTGTGGGTTTGGGAGTGTATGAGCATCATGATAGGACTGATTACACCTTTGTTCAGCTAATGCTGGCATTGCAATACAGCTAATGTTAATTGTAAACATATGTTTTGGCAATGTACAGTAGTTCCTTCTTTGTGGGGGAAGTTATTACATGGAAAAATGTACTGGGACACTCTTTACTATTCACTGATACACTCTTTTGAATTATTTATCAGCTTGACAGAAACCAGTAAATCATCAGTGGAAATGGATTTTTTGCTCCCTTCTCCCTTTTTGCTAAAAATATCAGTATTACAACCATGTTGGGGGGGGGGGGAGACCTCTACCACTAACAACTGGGAATATAGACAACTGAGGACATTACAACACTTTCAACCTTGGAACAGGTGGCATATGGATACCACTTCCAAACAGATACTGATTTGGATATTTGGTTTACTTTTGTTGACTCTTAAGCAGAGTTGATAGACAACTGTATGCATTTCATATTGATCCATGTTCTTAAAAAAAAAAAGATTTTTTTCCTTAAAAGATTGAGTGCCCACAAGCCTAGCATTAGGGACCACATTTTGGGCACCATAACCCTAAATTTATTGGTTCTGGATAAAATAAGCAGGGAGTTAAAGACAATAATAGTCAAAAGGCAAGAACAGAGAAACAGCAAAACAGTTTAGCAATTGAAGGAAGAGAACCGATAGGAAGACAGTGGACATTCAAAAACACTAGAGGGAATGTGGGCCAGGGGAAGGGTGGCTGAAAAGTCTTTCTGACTCAAATTCTCATACTAGTTCTCAAATTCTCATTACTAGTTGTAATTCGCAAGTCAGAGCTTTCGTATTTTTTTACAACATATTAATTGATAGCAGAGAATGTCAGCTGAAGGAGCATATGGTTAATGGTGAAAAGTTGTTTTCTTTGGTTTCTACATATCTCATTGCACAAATAGTTCTGAATTATTTTTGATCTTTAAACTTATTTTAGACATTAACTGCTAAGTGCATGTAAAAGTGAAACAATATTTGTACATGCAGCATGACATAAATAAGTCAAAAGTGCTTCATTTAAACTGAAGGTTACCTTTCAGAAAATGCTTTTATTTCCCACAGTTCTAATTCCTCTTCTGCTACCCAGGTTTCAATTATAACAGGGCCTGTTTGCTTTGGAGTTTCTGGCCTTTTAGGCCTCAGTGCACTTGATCGAAGACCTTTCCTTTGAGGTGTAGGAGTTTCTATAGATAAAATCATGGAAATATTCAGTTTAAGGGCCAGTAAGTATTTAGTTATAAAATGCTAAAATTTCCCAGGATAGACAAATTCCTTTCAAGTAACTTTCAAATTTTATACACAGACATACCTTTTGGGGCCTCTGGAACACCAATAGGACAAATTATTTTTCGTATACAATATTCTGATCGAATTCCATATGGTCCAACATCCCGTCGTTTGATTATTTCAGTTGTTGTAATTTCTGTTTCTGATGTTTCTACAAACATTTGTTTGAAAAGATTCATTACTTAAAGGTACTGCCAAAATAGTATTTTTAAAATACTTAAATGATGGAATTTTGGGTGAAAAAGCATTCCAGTTTTAATCTGAATAAACTCAGTATCAGTTTTAAATGACCTGAAGTAAGGATGTACTGGAAGTGGGTTCAGCTGAGGGGATGGACCTCCATATCTAATATGAACTGTAATTTGGGCATCTTTGTGAACGACTAATGAAATTTGTAGAAGGATACAGTAGAAAACCATGGGACTACAGCCACATGGCTCTTGCATAATTTATGCAGAATCAGCCAATCTGTCCCTACCCCACATACAGCAAAAAAGGCAATTTCTATAAAACTGGGATTTGCATAAGTGGGCCAATTCTGTATAAATTATGCTAGGGCCACATAGTTTTGTGTGGTGTATTTGTGCAAAACCTCTTCATGGATCACTGCCTTGCCGTGGTGAAGGGGCTTGTGTAGCACAATGAAGCTATGAGCTATGCTGTGCAGAGGCACCCAAGACAGAGTGGTCATAGCAGAGAGCTCTGACAAAAGGTGATCCACTAGAGAAGGAAATGGCAACCCACTCCAGTATCCTCACCATGAAAACCCCATGGACAGTACCAGAAGACTAAAAGATATGTTGCCGGAAGATGAGAACCTCAGGTCAGAAGGTGCTCAATGTGCTACTTGGGAAGAGCAGAGGGCCCAATACAATTAGCATCAGAAAGAGTAAAGCGACTGGGTCAAAGCCAAAAGGACACTCAGTTGTGGAAGCATCTGGTGGTGAAAGGAAAGTCCGATGCTGTAAAAACAATACTGCACAGGAACCTGGAATGGAAGATCTATGAATCAAGGTAAGTTGACGTGGTCAAACAAGAGATGACAAGACTGAACATCGACATCTTGGGTATCAGTGAACTAAAATGGACAGGAATGGGTGAATTTAATTCAGATGACCATCAGCTATACTACTGCGGGCAAGAATCCCTCCGAAGAAATGGAGTAGCCTTCACAGTCAATAGAAGAGTAGGAAAAGCAGTACTGGGATACAATCTCCAAAACGACAGAATGACCTAAGTTTGAATCCAAGGCAAACAATTCAACATCAGAGTAGTCCAAGTCTATGCTCCAACCACTGGTGCTGAAGAGGCTGAAATTGACCGGTTCTATGAAGACCTAAAACACCTTCTAGAAAGAACACCAAAAATGATGTCCTTATCATCATGTGGGATTGGAATGCTAAAATAGGAAGCCAAAAGGTAACTGGAATAACAGGCAAGTTGGCCTTGGAATACAAAATGAAGCAGGGCAAAGGCTGGAAGAATTTTGTCAGGAGAACATGCTGGTCATAGCAAACACTCTTTTCTGACAACTCTACACATGGACATCACCATGGTCAGCACAGAAATCAGAATGATTATGTGCTCTGCAGCCAAAAATGGAGAAGCTCTATACAATCAGTAAAAACTAAACCAGAAGCTGACTGTGGCTCAGATCATGAGCTTCTCGTTGCAAAATTCAGGCTTAAATTGAAGAAAGTAGGGAAAAACACTAGGGCACTAAGGTATGACCTAAATCATATCCCTGATGAATATACAGTGGAGGTGACAAATAGATTTAAGGAATTAGACCTAATAGACAGAGTGCCTTCCAGAATTCTGGAAGGAGGTTCACAACATTGCATCCCAAAGAAAAAGAAACGCAAGAAAGCAAAATGGTGGTCTGAGGAAGCTTTACAAATAGCTGAGGAAAGAAGGGAAGAGAAAGGCAAGCAAGAAAGGGAAAGATACACCGAACTGAATGCAGAATTCAAGAAAATAGCTAGAAGGGATAAGAAGGCCTTCTTAAATGAACGGTGTAATGAAATAGAAGAAAACAATAGAATGGGGAAGACAACATATCTCTTCAAGAAAATTGGAGATATGAAGGGAACATTTCATGCAAAGATGGGCATGATAAAGGACCAAAACGGCAAGGACCTAACAGAGGCAGAAGAGATTAAGAAGAGGTGGCAAGATTACACAGAAGAACTATACAAGAAAGAGCTTAGCATCCCTGATAACCACGATGGGGTGGTCACTGACCTCGAGCCAGACATCCTGGATTGTGAAATCAAATGGGTCTTAGGAAGTCTGAGCAACAACAAAGCTAGTGGAGGAGACAGTATTCAAAATCCTAATAGACAATGCAGTTAAACCGCTATACTCAATATACCAGCAAATCTGGCAATCTCAACAGTGGCCGCAGGATTGGAAAAGGTCAGTTTACATTCCGATCCCAAAGAAGGGCAATGTCAAAGAATGTTCAAGTTACCGCACCATTGCACTCATTTCACATGCTAGCAAAGTTATGCCCAAAATCCTACAAGGTAGGCTTCAGCCATATGAGGACCAAGAACTACCAGAAGTACAGGCAGGTTTTTGAAGAGGCAAAGGAACTAGAGATCAAATTGCCAACATACGTATGCTGGATCATGGAGAAAGCTAGGGAGTTCTAGAAAAACAGCTACTTCTGCTTCATTGACTATGCTAAAGCCTTTGATTGTGTGGATCACAATAAATTGTGGCAAGTTCTAAAAGAGATGGCAGTACCAGACCATCTTATTTGTCTCTTGAAAAACCTGTATGCAGGTCAAGAAGCAACAGTGAGAACTGCACATGGAACTACTGATTGGTTCAAAATTGGGAAAGGAGTTCGGCAAGGCTGTATACTGGCGCCCTGTCTATTTAACTTATATGCAGACCACATCATGTGAAAGACGGGGCTAGATGAATCACAAGTGGGAATTAAGATTGCCAGGAGAAATCTCAACAACCTCAGACATGCAGATGATACTACTCTAATGGCAGAAAGTGAAGAGGAACCAAAGAGTCTCTTGATGTGGGTGAAAGAGGAGAGCGCAAAACTAAGATCATGGCATTTGGTCCTCTCACTTCCTGGCAATTAGATGGGGAAGAAATAGAGGTAGTGACAGATTTTATTTTCTTGCGCTCCAAGATCACTGCAAAATTTGTGCAAAACAGAGCCAGAAGTCCACAGCAAGTTTATGCCAGAAGAACGTTAAATCTGAATCTAGGAAGCTGAATCATGAAAATCTGTTGGATTTTCACCCCACTCCTAGACTCCTCACAGATCCCTAGAAAGAAGCGTTGTGGGTCAGGACATATACTAGAAAATAAATGGTCTAGCATGAGTCATGGATCATTTTCAGGCTTACACCCATAATTTCCATTAATTATTACTATGATTAGAAAGAGTTCTAATCCACTGTGCAATGCTCTTCTCAAACAGTTTTGACCTTTGTACTATAATAAACCCAAAATAGTGCTATCACAGGAAAGTACATTTACTTTTTATTAATACTCAAGTAAGCGTAACTAGTTTCACAAGGGCTAGATTATGGCCTTTGTTTGATTCAGCAAAACCTTCAGAGTTACACAGCTGTCAGAACTGGACACTCTGTTTCCACTGCATCCTGGAGAAGAGAAGGCAGCTGGAACCTCTAGCCATGGCCCCTGCTAAGACACAGCCTTACAGACTCCAAAGGGAGGGGTCTGCCTACTCCCATTCCACAACTCTGTTCCTTGGACTCCTCTTCCTTGGCTTCAAACTATCAGCTGCAAAGTAATACACTGGTTGGACCAGTCTGTCACCTAGTACTCTGGACGATAATGCAGGCATCAAACATACAGACACATTTAAATCCATTACAGTGAATTCATTTAAGAATTAAGTATGTTCACCTCCTGTATGATTATTGATTTTATAGGCAGTTTTTGGTCTTAAGGTCCTCAAGATTGTGTATAGAACAAACTTTAAGATAGGACCAAAACAAGAGAACACCCCTGCCAAAAAACTAGCTTCAGCCCCCAATTAAAAACCACCAAATGATAAAAAGAACAAAAATATCTTTATCGCTAGCCAGAAACTGAGCAGTAAAGGCCCTACTCGAATCTTCCAAAGAAGTTCCATAAGTGAGTGCTGCTAAAGAAAGGGTGTGCCCCATATTCTCACCAAACTTTGGTCTCTGTAAGTGGTGAAACATTCAACAAGATCTTCAATTACATAAAAAGGAAGTAGTCTTCCATAAATCCTAGCCACACACCATTTAGGGCTTTCTAGAATCAGGACCCTGAACTGGGTTTGAAAGCCAGTAGAAACGATATCAAGACCAAAGTAATATGGTCTAGAAAGCACACACCAGATGTACACTTTAGATCAATTTGGTTGCTGCATTGTCTACCAGCTGCATTTTCCAATCACTTTTCAAGGTTAGCCCAACACAGAATGCACTGCAGTTGTCTCAATAGGAAGCCTAAGGCATATGTCATTGTAGCTAGAGCTGTCTCCTCCAGGAAGGGATGTGACTTGTGCATCAGCTGAAGCTTAGCAAGAACACCTCTGGCCAGAGCTGCCAAGTGTGCATCCAGAAGCCAAGCAGAGTCCCAAAGTTGTGCATCTGCTTCTTCACAGGCCATGCCTTCTACAGAGGGAGAGCAATCCATCCAGAACAGGCTGTATTCTCAAACCCTGGTAAATTTATCTGATGCTCAAGGCCTATTGTCCTATCAGAATTCAGTCTCATTAGTCCATATCCACTCCAATTCACTGTGTCTAGGCAACAGTTCAGGACATCTACAGCCTCTTTGGCATCAGTTGAAAGAGAGCTGGGTGACATCAGCATAATGATGGATTGTTTTTTCCCAGCAGATTCATAAATATGTCAAAAGTAAACAACTGGCAATGAAATAACCAACATGTATTAAAACCCAATTCACAGCTCATTTTATGTCTAGAGTGCTGGAGGCCTACATTTGCGGAATCAATGCAACACACTCACTGGTGTGGTTATCACGGCGGGAGCCAAGTACATCTCTTACATTCTTCAAGATTGGTGTTCTGCATCTACCACCTTATTTCAGCTGCAGAATCTTATCCCTAACAGGGGAATGCAACTCAATCCAGAATATGTCAAATGAGACACACAGCTTCCTCCGTTTCTAGGGGAGGGGGGAGGGGGGGAGTGAGAGAGTTGTATGTCATCCACAAACTTGGTAACATGTCATTTCAAGTCTCTAGATGACCTTTTCCAACAGCTTCATGTACATACTAAAACACCATGGGAGGACATAGTATTGTAGAACCTAAAGGACAAATACTTTGTGTGCTAACAAACTCTGAAGACCTTGGAGGGAAAAGAGAGCAGTATGATTGGCAGGAAATCAGGGTTGGGGTAGGAATTGGGCAATAAGAGGGTCAGGGCACCAGTACGGAGCCACATACAAGGCCTTGGAGGAGCATAACACCCTTGTGCACTCCTGGTCTAAACAATCATATTCATCCATATAATCATATCGATCCATCCATATCAAACCTTCAAAAGGCAGAATGAAAAAATGTTAAACTAAAAGCAATAAAATTTATATAGCAAATTACAAGTTTTTGCAAAAAAGCCACTACTGCTACTGTTTTATAAATTAGCCAAATGAAATATTCCTTTGAAACTACCTGTGCGTGTAGTTCCTCCACCAGGTGGGGGTTTGGCAGCCATGTCATCCCACTTCAGACATGCCCAGAGTAACCTCAACATAAGGCTAACCCCTGCCAAAGATTTTACAGTTTGAAGTCGGTATCTGGAAAAATTCATAAAGGAAATCATATATGGCACATTTCAAATTGCATTAAGTTCATAGTCTAAATCTCAGAGATAAAGCTAAGAGTTTTAAAATCTTGCTCACAACAGAAGTGGAGATATGTTGTTCATGAGTACATACTTCAGTACTATATGTTAGACAGACCTGCATAGTCCCACTAAATCTTGCTCATCTATGGGCGCCATCCACTGTGGCTGCCAGTAACTCCCCAAATTCAGTGGATTGTGAAGCATGGGAAGAGTGCAGAGGAAAAGGACTGCCTCCACATTTTGCCCACCCTCCAAAGAGCCAACTGAGGAGATGCTGAGGCATCACTGAGATTCCTTGTACCCCAGCACAGCCCCACTCCTCCCCTCCACTGGATCCCCCTCTGGGGCCATGACCAAAGCTGGACTTGCTACTGCAGAGCTGCAGCCAGTAGGAAAACAACTGCATCAACTGTGAGGCAGAGTAAGGGAGTTCCAACTCTAATAGAACTTAGTGCACAATTCTGTGGCAAATAGGTTGTGTCTAGACAACCATGGGACAATTCAGAGTCACAGCTCCAAAGTGCAAGTTTTTAAAGCAATCCAAATATGTTCAACTAAGATCTAGAACAGAGGACTACTTAAGTGATGTTTTCCTAAAAGGATATAAAGAACATTTTCCTATGTTCACACAGTAAAATATACTATCTGGCCAACAGTGTCATTTGTAAAAGACACTGGATGACAATTGGAAACCAAACAGGTATGTATTCAGGAAGAAGCTGAGATATCCAAGCTATGAAAGAAACATGCTGTTAACCAACTGAAAAAATGGTATTTTAGAACAAGGGTTTGCAACACAAAATCCTTACTCAAGCATACCATTCTGAAGGATTATGGATGATTTGAGGATTTTAATACAGGTAAGCTCCAAATAAGGCCAGTATATATTGTTAGGAACCAAGGCCATACCCTTTGAAAATACTTTCACTAAATACTGACAAAATGAAGGCTGTTGAACAAAAACACTTGAAACAACATAGATCAAAGAAAACCTATGCAAAGCAAATGACCTTGGACAATCATCTCTTTATGAAATATCAAATGATTTATGCTACACTCATTTTAATTGGCTTGAATAAGAACGTAAGAAAAACTATGAGGGATCAGACCAAAGGTCATCCAGTCCAGCACTCCATATACATGGCAGCAGACCAGCTGCCCACAGGATCCCTCACACAGGATGGGTGCCGGACCTCCGCCTGCCCAGCCCCTCGGCAGCTGGTGTATGCAGGCAGGCCACTTCTGCTGAAGGAGGCAGCACACAGCCGGCCAGGCTAGTGGCCACTAACAGCCTCCTCCTCCTCCATGAATCTGTCCAATCCCCTTTTTAAAGCCATCCAAATGGGTGGCCATCACAGCGAATTCCATAGTTTGGCTATACATTGTGTGAAGAAGCGCTTCCTTTTCTCTGTCCTAAACCTCCCACCAGTCAGCTTCATGGGAAGCCCCCAAGTTCAAGTGTTACAGGGGAGGGAGAAACACCCCGCCCTCACTTCCATGCATTATTTTGAACACCTCTGAACAGCAGGTCAGGCTTTCACATAACTTCTCAATAAAGGGTTTAGGTATCTCACAGGGCATTCATTCAGCAGATCTGAAATGTACAATGCACCAAGTCTGCAGTTTCTTGCCCATTTCCTCACCTTCTCACACAGCAAATGCAGGGAACTCCCAGATGTGCACAGGCTGCACAGTTTGTGTGCCTTATTCTTCTTTAGTATTATTTACATATCTTGACCCTTACACTAAGCTAAGTATTGGAGCTTTCTACTTGAAAACACACATTAAAAGTTTGCTCCTGTCACATAAATGCAGTCCAAACACTTGACTGACAAACTAATGTGGGCTTATGATTTTAAAAGGATGGCAACTGCAGCACTGGATTATAATACCCATATAGATCATGCAATGAAATGATCACCAGCTCAAATTATTGTAAAGGATTGTTAACACTGTACCTCCAAGTGATACCAAATGTTGGTCTTGGGGATGGATATGGCCAAATGTCCAAAGCAGGCTTAGCAGTATAGTTGAAGCAGGGGACTTCTCTGATTCCTCCTTTTCTTGCAAGCTTCTTCAGGTCATCATTGGGCAAAACAAATATGCTCTTCTTACTGCTTTTAGTAATGAACTTTCTGTAAGATGGCAAAGCTGTTCCAGAACGAGTCTTCTTAGGTCTTGAGAATTTCATTAGCTTCACTTTGTCTCTTGTAGAATATTCCTTGCTGACAGTCATAGAAGTCACCAATGTTCCCCCTGGTGTAGTCAAGGAATCCGTCACTGTTGTTGTAACCACAGTTTTACTATGCTCCTTTACAGAAATGATGTCGGGATTGCTATCTGAAGTAGGAGTGCTAAGCTTTGTTACAGTAGTGGTCATGGTGGTGGTTACAGTAGATATGGAACAGTTTTCAGTAGATGACACCACACTTTCTTTATCATCCTTGATGGCTGACAACTCTGATATTTTATAAATGGTTTTGGATTCTGTGGAAATAGTTGATGTGGTGGTCACTTCTGTAACAACAGCTTTCACTGCATTCTCTCCATTAATGCTTTCAAGTTTGTTGTGCATCTGTAGTCCATTCTGATCAGCAAAATCATTGCTCAAGCTTGATTCTTCACATGAAATTACAGGTGAGGGGGCAGATTTCTTAACACAAGGAGATTCAATTTCCATGCACTCCGTTTCACTATATATACTGTTCTCATTACAGGAATGGATGGGTGGGATGGATGTGTCATCCACGGGACTTGCTCTTTCAGGAGAACACTGCTTCTTTCCAATACTTTGAACAGACTGAGATGTATTATCTGCAGGCAAGTCATTCTCTCTAGAATCTCCATCTGTATCTGCTGAACCCTCTACATCCAATTTCTTTCTCTCATTTGTATCTTCCACAGCAATATCACCATTCATAAAAGGCTTTACAGGTTCATTAGAAGAAAAAGGTTTAACTAGAGGATTGTTCTTATTAACATTATTGACTTTAGAGTCAATATTGCTCTCTGTTTGTGCAAGTGTTTCTCTTTTTAAACATTCTTCATTCGGTAATACTTTAAAATCAGGGTCTTTTCCATTGATTTGAAATGCTGTTGTCTTTTCTCTTTCCGTCTGAGTATCCAGTTCTCCATTTTTATTATTTTTGTCAGCAATGCTTTTAATCTGATCAAAGCATTTGTTTATGGAACTTGGTGAGACACACTTCTCCTGGTCTTCCTTTTCTCCATTTGCTTCAGTGATTTTCGACTTCACTACCTCATCAATATTTTCTCCAATATTGTCAAGAATTTGGGCTTCAAATGCTTTTTCTGAAATGAGCTCAGTATGCAATGAGGTTAGGCCTCCAATAGCTTGCTTTGGATTCACTGCAACTGTGGGTTCAGCTGCATCTTCACTGTTTTTCAGAGAGCACTCTTTTACCTCATTTGCTTGCATGGGTAGCACCTCAGAATGATCGTCTAAACTACATGTTTCTGCAGAATCACTGTCCTGTTTTTCTGATTTTAATTCTTCCCTTTCTTGCCTAGTTGAAGAGGAAGCATCTCTTGCGTAGCCACTTTCAGTTACCATTGGCTGAATAACATTTTCACACTGAGACTCTGTGATACTAGCTTGCTCTGAACATTTTGCACTGCCCTCTAAGATGTCGCATTCACTTGCTTCTTTGTCTTCTACAGGTTTAGAGTCTTCCGTAACAGAACTGTCCATTTCACTCTCCTTACTCTGGATCTGATTTTTATCCATATCCATTTGTTCTGAAACACTTTCGTTAGTATCCTTTCCCAACAGAGTTTGAGTATCTGGGCACTGAACTGAGGATAGGTCTCCTTCTCCCTCCAAAAGTCTATTCAAACAAGGCAACGACTGGACTGATTCACTGCTTTTGGTAAAGTGGAGACTGCTAGATGACAAGTGGTCTTTAACAGGATCTTCAGTTTGATTTGTACCTGAAATATGGATTCTGTTTTGGGAAGTAATGTCCACCTGCTTTCCATCCTCTGTTTTAGCTATCTGTAAGTCATCCAGATTCTTCTCTGGACTGGGAGATTTACAACCTGAAGAGTTAGCACTAGCTTTAAGTTTTATTCTTTCTAGTCGCTGCTTTTCCTCCAGTGTAAACTGTTTTACTCTTCTTTCAAGTAGTCCATCCAGTTTTGATGTTTTTACTTTCCTTTTATAACATGTCCTTAAGTGAAAACCTTCACTAACATTGATTAAATCTGCATTTATAGGGATTTCAGATTTTGTGGAGGTATCTATTTTTACTTCATCTATCTCCATAGGTTCTTCCTTGATGTCTTTATCATTTTCACCAATTTCTTTTTCCTCTGTGAATAATAAATTTTAATCATTAACACACTGGTAACTAACATATATACTTAGAGATCTAAGCTGTGGCTGACTGCATGTATTCTTGTGTATATGAATACTAACACACTGTACTAAAAATAACACTACATGGTTCTTGCACACTCATTTCAATATTAAACACACATATCACAACTACACTGGGTCACATCAAGCGGAAGTGGTGAAGTGGCACACAGACATGCAGGTGCACATAATCAACTTAACGCACCATGCATTCATATACACCATAGGATGTTTCATGGATTACTCTAAGATTTATCTGTACTCATATTTTCTATTACCCACACAATGAATCAGCAGAATTAATCCACAGAAAGCTAAATAGTAACCTACCTACCCAAATGGATAAAATGCCCATTACCTTCTTTCATATGATCTGGTTTTTGTAGATGTTTGTTAATTTCAGCTTTTTCTTCTTTTAATTCATTTTCCTCCTTGGTTCGTATTTTCTTTATGGTCTCTGCATTTTCAGATTCTTTTTGGTCCTTCTTGTACGGCTCACGGAAGTTTTTTATTCTGTCTTTCAATGAACCATGTTCTGTTTTTACTTTTGCTGGGTTTTTCCTTTTATCCAGTTCACGGTGCTTTTCTGGGATGGCAACGGTATCATTTTTTGCTGGTAAAAAAATATGCATTTATTTTTATGATTTCTATACCACCTTTCAGTATAAAATTATTAGGATGGCATCCATGTATGGATTATTCAATTTTTCTTTTCTTTACATCTAAGTATAGTAAACAGGGGGCCTGAATGTTCTTAACTTGCTTAATTTAGAGTCAAATAAGGGTAAGGACAAGGAAGAATAAACTACTTCAGAAATTCATATTAAAACAATATTATTTCATACAGCATATTAGACAAAATAAATACACCTACACAAATTCAATATTAGGTCAAATTACATCTGAAAGGAACAAAATTATTTGTGAAGGTAAATAGCAAATGAAAACTCCTGTTTTTTTTACTAAATAGGTAGAAAAAAAGTTTTAAATATGCTTATTTTCCTGTGTCTTCTAATGTGCTGGTTTTAGACAGAAAGAGGTTAAAAACAGCAAGACTGTAGAACTGATTGAAAACACACCACTGAAATGTCTGTTTTTGATGTCGCTAACTGAACTTGCGTTAAATTCTATTTCAAATAAAGATTTCCAAAACTTACCAGGTAGTAATTTTCGGTAACTGACATTAGTATTTCCAGGTAATCTGGGTACAAATCTATGAACATGTGTTTTACTAATCCATATCCATCCACCATATCCTGTTACTCTATATTCTTCTCCTTTTTGTTTCCAAACCTGTTAAACATTGTTAAATGCATCTACTTAAAACACTTAAATAAAATTAAAAGTACAATCCATAATTAAAATGTGGATTTTAAAGAAACACTACAAGAAACGACTTCACACTCAGGCCATAATGCACTATCACAAAGGCCTGTGAACAGCCCTGGAGTATTTTTTTCTGCCAAGACTAGCAATGCAACCAGGAAGGGAATGACTCTACACAGCACAATTAAGAAAAGGCAAAAATAAAGGGTGCAGGGCAAATCTATAAGCAACATGGTTTCCAAAATTTCCAGAGCATTTCAAATATAAACATTCTTCCTAAATAAAATAATGTTTTGATTGAACTCAGGCTCCCTTCCAGTGCCTTCTGCAATTGCAAGTTCCCTTCGTTCAGTCTGGAATGGGGGCCCTGTAGCACTTTCAGGCCTCTTGTTGCTGGTTTCAGGACTGCAGAAAGGAAAAGGGACTCCTTTCTTTTCTGCTCGACTGAAGCCTCCCCCTACACTGTTTGCTATATAGCTATGGAACCTGGCTCTGGAACCTGGCCAGTTTGCAGGGGATGGGGTATGAGGCAAGACTGAGGGAATTGGGTCTCTTCAGCCTGGAGAAGAGGAGACTCAGAGAGGATCAGTTGGCGACAGACAGGTATGTGAGGGGGTGTCACATGGAGATGGGTAGAGACCTGTTCTCCCCTTCAGAGGAAGGCAGGATGCACTCCAACAGAGCAAAGCTCAGGGAGCCACGGTTCCATTTAGATGCCAGGAAGCACTTCCTGACAGTTAGGACCCCGAGGGTGTGGAATGGGCTTCCATGAGAGGTTGTTGAGGCCCCATCGGTGCAGGTGTTCAAGGATAGGCTGGACATGCACATGGCGGGCATGTCGTGAGTGGAGCCAGCTGGAGCCAGGGGTCAGACTAGATGGCCCGGGAGGCCCCTTCTGACTCGCTGTTTCTATGTTTCTGTGCATTTTACAGCTATACAGTATGAGTGGAATGTCTGGAAAGATTCTTCTTTTACTTCCCTCCGAAAACATTTCCGTATAATGAAGAAAACTGAGCAGGTTTTACCACACAGTAGAATAGATAGTTCAAGATTCTATACACCCTGGAAACACAGAGGTCCTTGTCAGGCCAGAAGGGGTGCATGAAGGTTATTTTTAACTTACAAACTTTAATATTCCAGCATGCCTGAGAATCTCCCACAAAATTAAACATGAAATAGCAGTGAAATGAAACTGCTGGGTAGCAGTGTGTGAAGAATGTACTTGAAGGTGGAAACCCATCAGACTCCGTTGGGCCCTGTGGCCCAGAGTCTGCGTTCCTGGCAAGTGAGCCCAGTATTTGTGGGGCACCCACTCACTCCTCAGGAACTGAGCTGCTATGTGCTGTACAAGCAGCACTCCTCCTTTGTGCCCACCACTTCCAGCAGAGCAAGCTGGGAAGAAGGCTGGCTGCCGGGAATGATGCTCCATGCACACTTGCAGTGCCCCCTTCTGCATCCTGCAGCTTCTCTTGACAGGGAAGGTTGCCAACTAGGGGTCTGTGAGTGTTCACGGGCTTACGCTTGGCTTGGCTTGGCGGACTGGGCCAAACTCAAGAGGAAGTCCACACATACTAGACTCTAGAGGGATGGTTTCTGAAAGGGTTCTTCCCAAACCTACTGTTAGGTAGTAGACAGATAGCACAGTGAAAGCCACCATTTAAATGCCTCCATCCAGCATTATAGACAATCTTCACTATTTTTATGCTACATATCTGTGAGTGTAAATAAACCTCAAGACACTGGCAGCTTTTATCACATGTAGTAACTTCCTGCATCAAAAAGCCTCACCTGAAAACATGTTTGTTTCCTAGCCCAGAGTATTTATTCCATCCAGCACACTAGCTACACCCATGCACATCACATGAGGCAGCAGACTGCATTTAAGTAAGTATGCTTCACTAATTCTGTACTCACAATTGAGGTGCAAATGGGGAGGTGGGGGTGGAGAGGGTCATTCTGTGCAGCATCTGACCCTACTTCTGTTGACACAAAGAAAGCCTGCTTGAGCCACCCCTGCTCCACCTCTCTGGAAGCTGAGGAACACTGAATTCAAGGCAAGCCATACAGAGGACACGCTGTCTCTCTGATGTTCTCTCTCAACCCTTCCAATACTAAGAAACCAGGCCAAGTTACAGCCTTACTTTACAGTCACCGTTTTCCCTAAGGAAAAACCAACTCAAAGAATCCTACATGGAGGTAATTCTGCACTGTTATTCACCAGACAAACAAACAGGTTGGTCTCACACGTACTCAACATAACCTTTAAAATCTCATTTGAAGAAGTGAGCAGCTCACTTGGCACTTCACTTGGAGTCAGAAGAGGACAAAGGGGTTACTTGCAAAGGAATCAAGTAATACTCCATAGCCCACAGGGTTTGTGTCTGTTCTTTCCTATCCTAGAACATGTAAACAGTTCTCAGATGTTGCAAATATAAGTCTAGTTCTCAATTATTCTTTGAAGCATTAGTAAGTCCATGAGCTAAGTAAAAGTTACCCTTTTAAAGATTCCAACCTGATTGCCTTTTTGAATTTTTCAGTTACCTATCTAGCTCAGTGATTATTAAAGTAAAAAGAAGAAAGTGCTTTGGGGGAACCAGTTGGGCTTGTATGGTTTTGTCAAGTCCAACTGGATTTGCAGAAATTCCATCTCTGCACAGAGTACACCAGGAAAGATGAACTGGGGTATATGTAAAGGACAATGACTTTAGAAAGGATAATCCAGAGGTTACCCTCAGACCTGTAGTAACGGCTGTAAACAAATGACAATTGATTTGGGACTTTTTTGATCAGGAAGAAGAAATTTATCTTCACTGATATGAAGTAACAGGGGACTATGATCTGCCTATCTTTCCCCTTACTGGTAGGACTGGGGTATATAAGCCCATCCTATCACATCCAACATGAAAGATATCTAGTAAAAAATTATTTTCCATCAGTTGAGCAAGATGACAATCCATCATGGAATGGTATCCAGTTACAGCAACAGTTCAAGACTTGGGTAAGATGGAAGTTCTTTGTTTTCCTTTACTCTATCAATGTAGTATTTAAGCTACATAATTTTTAAAATGGCAGCCATTAAAATACAATAAAGAAACAGCAGCAATCTGCAGAATAGATTTCATTTTCCTTAAAAAGGAAGATTGCTATGCAAAAACAGTACCTGATGTTTGATAGGAAATGTGTATTTCACCCATGTGGCTTGCTGCATGGTTTCTTCTTCCTCTTGCTTTCTCTCCTTCTTTTTCACTTTTTCCTTTTCTTCTCTTTCAATAGCTGTCATTCTACGTAACCTAATTGCAAGACACACATAACCAAGCAGGTTATTTCTTCTGGCCAGTGACTAGAGATATTCAAATAAGACCTTTTAAAGCACAAGGTTTTCCTAACATTTTCAAATTGCTGGGTTGAACCAAACATGGCAGTAACCTCCATGAAATGGCTGCAAACAAATACAATGCCAGTAAACCAGGACAGGAAATGTTCAGTGTGTCTGCCTGAGTTTTTGTAACAGTCAATGTTAAGATCCTCAGTATTTTCACATATTAGAAATTTTACACCCACTTAGGCATCTTACCTGGTATGTCCCAAGGACTCCCTCCAGATTGGCAGCATGACAACTGGTTTAATTGCACATTCCAATATAGCCAAAGCCAATGCAAATTCTCTAGGTTTGCTACACATCTGAACAGCCTTGATCCAATTAGACCTACATTTAGCAAAAATATAGCAAGATTTAAATGTGTTGAGCACAGTAAGTTATTCCACTGAGTGCAGAATACACAGAACCACCAGTGAGGAAAATAACTGCAATAGTACTAAAGGTGTACTAAATACCACATTTCTTCATAGTCCAGCACTTCCATGAAGCTCTTAAACAATATCCTAGGTCCATACCCTACTGCTACTCAGCCTGTATCTAAGCTTAATATATAAAACAGAAACAACTACATATTACATCCATGTTTACCTATGGTTCCCTTCCTCACACTTACTTTTCAGTTGTCTGCTCCTTGCGGAAGGAACCTGTCTTCCTATGCTGTAAAGGACCATGCACACAGATGGCACTATATAATAATAAAATCCTGAAACTCCAGGTGCTTTTACCTGTGTGAAGCCCAGTTGGGATGAAGAAATGAAGATGGGATGTTGTTCTCTAGCTGGATGATGGTTAGCCTCAAAGTGGATATTGTAAGAACCTTCGATCCATGCACTGATCCATTCCATTTGAACTCTCCAGCAGGACTGAGACAAAACTTGTGAGAGAGGTGTCGTCGCTTGTCATGGTCTTCCCGGTGCTGATGTTTGTTCAAAGCAAAAGAGTTTGTGGCATACTGATTGTGGTAGACACGGTACTTCCCTTCTTGACCTAGCTTGAAATAATTGTTGATGTTTCCTTTCATCACTATTTCTTTCTTGGTGTTTAATCGGGAGACTTCCCCTTGAGAATTAACCACAAGGACCTTATTGAAGTAAACATAAAACATATACATATTAAAACTTATATAATTTTCAGTATTTTAATGAAGAGCTGCAGTCCTGCTGACTGTATTGTAACATTAAAGAATTGTAACATTCAGAGTTACCAAGTAGATCTATAAAACAGTAAAGGAATGCATCCAACAAAGCAGAGTTTGCCTGCAGAAGAAATGCCATACTAAATGAATACGGCATCAAGAAGCCACATTTCTATTCCTTCTCACTACAGAAAAAGAGCCTTTTCATACACTTAATTCCAACTGCCAAAGCAACTTAAGTGAATTCACAATTATTGACAGCAGCCCTAATAGTTTTGCACTCTGAAGCAAAGACACTGAAACTGCATGTTTAACAAGCAAATTCCAGTGCAATTTTTGACAGTCTTGGGCTGCATTCTTATACCGACTTAACTAAGAACATAAGAAGAGCCTTAGTGGCTCACAGCAAAGTCCTATCTAGTCCTGAATTCTATTCAGAGGCCAACCAATGAGTAGGAGGGCATGGGTGTTCCCTGATACTGGAGGCAATACAGAACCACAGCCATTTAGCAGCTTTGGGAAGACTTATCCCAGGCGTTAGCTCCACTGAACACAACAGCCAGGTTCATACGAAAATCGAGGAAAAGCAACCCTGGCTTCTTTTCTCCACCCCCACACCTGCTGGTTTTGTGTCATGGGAGTGGCCTAATTACCCATCTGGCACATAGGTTACTATGTCATCTGAACGCAGCCATGCATTCCTGGGGTGGTTTGGGAGCCACCTACTGCACATCTCATCAGGTTCCAATGACACAGCAACCCACATGCCGTTAAGACTACTTAGGCAAAGCACACAGTATGCAACCAGTGCAAGCAGGGCAGGGAAAAGAAGCTACTATGACTTCCTTTCCCTGGCAATCATGCAAACCGAGCTGTCAGAGCTATCCCTCTGCCCTGCCTTCCAGGAAGATCAGGGTGCACAATTTCTAACTAAAAGTCTTGAAATACATGAGAAGAGTATTATAGAAAGCAATTACAAAGGAAACAGGGAAAGATAGATTATCAGTCACTAGAAAAATGTGGCTTAATGATATAAAGTTAATTCCAAATTTAACTAGCTCTCTTCCCTTTCAAAACAAGAAGAGCTGACTTCTCTTTCAACTTTTTGACTTATGGATCAATTGTGTGGAACGTTTGCCCTTGATGCCATATAGCTGGACTAATGAAGCTGCCTCCTCCCCCTTCCATATCAGATGGAAGTCACTCAACTTCCCCGCAGAACTTGAAACTGGTGGGTTTTAAGCAACTGGCTTATCTCTCGAGTCCAGTGGCCTTTGCAAGTCAGCCAAGAACTTCAGCACCTTCTCCACTTCAGAATCAGGATGTCAACAATCTTGCGATGGCTGCACTACAGGAGGAGACGGCCCAAACCTTAAAGCAGCCAATAACACACAGACTTCTGTGTACAACTCATATAGGACTGCACTGTAAGCCTTTGTCTTCCAGTAAAACCACTACCAACACTCTTCACTGGGCATCCCTAGGGCAAGGGCATTCTACAGTCATTGCTTTCAAAACCAACACAAACCTCTTTGCCTTCTTTAAACAACTTATTTGCTTCATGTGCTGCAGCAGCAACCTGCTGGCTTTTCAGCTGACTGAGTTTACTATCTGGATTCCGTAACCTGGTGACCATTCGTGTTGAACATGGGGTGCCTCTTCCAGTACTTGGAGATTCACTTCTTTCTCCATTAGATTTATCTCCTGTCAAAAAAAGCCCAGATTAAATAGGTGATATACAGGAAGGCAAATTAAAACAGATATTTGTAAAAACATAGGAATTATACAATTTTAAGACTACCAATCCAGCATACCCTAGTGATAGACTGCTTTATTTTTACCTAGCTCCTCTGAGCTCTGGGATCCTCCTTCAGTATTTTCCACTTCATCGGGAGTCTTCATAGATTCACTCAGCATAGAATTGATTTCATTGCTGCTGCCATTTTCCGCATCAGGCAAGAGGGTTTCAGAAGAACCAACATTCAGACTAGGAGTTGTCTTTGCTGTTTCGTCTATGAAAGACAAGTATTTTAGGTACTTAGCATTACCAAAAACAGTTGAAAATGAAAAATAAAAAACCTTAAGTCATAAGATTCTAAGTCAGGAGATATTCCTGAAAGAGCTGAAATTTAGAAGGAAGGAAGGAAGACAAAATGAAGGAATAAATGACACCATGGTCCTGGTGGAGGGATACATTCACTGTTCATATGCATATGTATCTTGCATTTTTTTTCTTTACAGTGTATTTATTTATTTAAAGTGTTTGAATGCTGCCCAACAGCACCTATTTATTTGTATTGTAGTAGTTTAAATAAAATAAATACAATATAAAATACTTAAAATATAAAAAAGAAGGTTCTAAAATGTCAAAATCAAAAGATAAATTCAGATGCAGTGAGGATGTTGCCCTGAAAACAGGCAGTATGAATAGCACATGGCTATTCATGAATGGCTTTAGTAGACGATCAATTACAAAACTATTATTGTCCTCTAAATTAGAGTATTTATACAGTGCCTTCCATACCTGAAACTTCTCTGAGGACCTCTAATGCAGAATTCTTCTCCCCCTCATTATCGTCAAGGATTTCTGACTCACACCCCATTGAATTCTTTTCTTCAGAAATAAGAGCCTCTCCCGAAGGATTGGTGAAGCTACCTTCAACAGGTGATGTCACAGAATCACTTTTATCCCCAGCATCGACTGACTCTACAGTAAAATGCATAATAAACCTTTATAGACATTTTAAGCTTACAAAGATGGCTAATTGTAGCCAGTGCAAAATTAAGTTTGTGAAAAATGCATGTACTAGATCCATTCTGTAGCATGGAAATACAGATGATTCTATGGTGACGAAACGTCTGTGTAAATCAGAAAAAACTGACAAATCAAAAATAAACCATTAAATATTTAAAAGTTCTCTAAGAGTGAACATTATTGTAACAGATATAAAATAGACCCCCTACCTGTGAGGGACAGGTTCCAAGCCTCCCAGCAGATGCATGAAATCATGTATACTACCAGTGAAATCATTATATACAATTGAATCTCAACTTTCACAGGTTAACTTTTTTGATTTGATTTATTTGATGTCTATTTATTGTTTATACAGGATCACTGTTTTAATCACTAGATGTTTTAAATTGTGTTTGAATTGCTGCAAGCCGTCCTGAGATATTTATATAAAGGATGGCATACAAAAGCTTTTAATAATAAATACATAAACAAACAAACAAACTTTGGTGGATTTGATCATTTGCAAGTTTGCCATCAGGAATTAAATGAGTTTTTTTAAAGAATGTGGCGTACTGGCCACAGACGGGCACATGGCGGTGGGCAGTGCTGTGTCTCTCCATAGATAGCCATGTGGGGAACTCTTCCCTTTCCAGCTGTCACCGCAGTCAGCCTGGAACAGTGCACCACCCCATAGCAAGCGTGGGGCAGGCACAGGACTGGGTGTGCAGCTGCACGTGACGTTCACAATGCAGAAAAGCTCACTGGAGGGGGCTGCGCTCCAGAGCACTGGGTCTGGTATTAAAACCACAGTAACTGGAATAGTGAATATGGGTTTTTTACTGTATTAACTGCGCAAGAGCATCTTGTTTACCTTCCTTTCTTCCTTTTTCAGAACTTTCGTCTGGTGGCATTTCTTTGCTTACATCCAGCTGCTGATTTGAAAGTTCTTCTTTGTCATTATCAGTCCCTGCACTGTCTTTATTTTCAACACCAGTTTTTTCCTTTTCCGTATCATCATCTATTGAACTTTTATCTTCCAAAGTTTCCCCCTTTCTGGCTCTAATTAATTCAAGAATTTCTTCTAAAGTAAAAGAAAAAAGAGATACAAGACACCGAGGTCAGATTTTTAAAATGTAATACAGCCTTGAAGGACCATGTGGCAATCACTCTGGCTGCAGCAGAGCTTTCCCCCCTCTCCGCTTCTGGAAGCATCCCTGTGCACCACCGTCAGATCCATGTAAAATGAATTTGGCACAGGGGCCAGACTACAGGAGAGATTCTTGTACTCTTTGCACATGCAACTTCCAGTGCGTGTCTCCAGGCTAGATGTAGTCAGTACTGTGGTTCTCCACAAGGAAACACATACTAGCTAAGGCTGGACTCTGGGCTCTAGCACAGTGAAGAGAGATGATTAGCAGAATTTACAGGACAACTGATCCCACCTAATCTGACCATCAAACATAGAAGTATTCTTAGCATTCTTTCATAAAACAATGTCACTCGGTATTATGAGGAACCAAGCAAATTTACAAGTGGACAAATGCCACACAGCAACTTTATTTCAAAAGTGCATTTTCGCAAACTACATCTCGTGAACTAAAGTCCAAAGATGGACTGAAAAGGAACTGTATTGTGTTTACAGGAGAAGAGCTAAAGCATACCATCTCTAATACTGCCTGTGGATAAAGCCATGCTCTACTGTCTGTAAATACACTTTTGATATATAACGTAAGTTGGGACATATTCAAGTACTGGGCATGGTAGAAAGAATAGCATGACAAAATATCATTTTCAGCATTTTTATTCTTCCTATTTAGAAAAGAAATCAAAGATTACTGTTGAAAATAGTATACTACACCAGCTAAGACCTAAGCTCCCATTGGTAATCAAACGAATGATCTTTTCAGAATGAATTTGCTAAGACTGACTCATTAGACATAAAAAGTAAGGATAATGAGAATATAAGTTCATTCTTGAGTATCAGGATAAAGAGAATGGCATCTTCAAGGATAACAATGAGCATAAATTTGTCAACAAGTGGTAAAGGAAGAAAAGAATGACTTGAAAATAGTGTATAGCAAAACCTGTCACAATGCAAATCAAGACAGTTTGAGGAACTGAACACATGCCTGGCTTCAATACAAACAGAAACATGGTCAGGTGATTTAAAATTTCGTAGCCCATGAAAAACTGCTCACCTGGGGATATCAAACAAAGACCTTATGAGGCCATGTCTGGGATGAGGCCAAAACAGGTGTGAGAGTGATACCTTACCTTTTGGCAAGACTGATGTGGAAAATGATCTAGAAAGAGTGGTAAGAGAGGAGAGGAACATAGTAAAATAGAATATGACACACGTGAAAAAATACCAGAGGAGGAGGAATGGAAATTGTACCCATGATCATGACCGAAGCAAAATGCTGTGTGTTAAAGGAATGTGGAAATGCCTATTAACACCTTAGACTGCAACAAGTCAAGCTTGCTATTTTTAGCAAACTGGGCACAAAAGGGTACGGCTACATAGTCATGTGCAGTCTCTATATTAAAAAGAGGAACATTACGCAAATTGTACTTCTTGAAAAGGCAGACAAATAATGTCAGAATGTACATGCCCTTGGCCAGACTTCAGTGATGCAGTAAAGCTTTCTGTACTGGCTAATAGTTGGGTTAGAAGGGATGTGGTCACGTCTACTGAAGATGGACAGTACTAACAACCAAGTATCACAGAAAAGTGAAGGGGTTTTTTTTTTTTTGGCTTGGTACCAGTTATGAACTGGTTCTCAAAAGTATGTTAAAACTGGAATTGCAGCTTTGGGGGAAATAGCAAAGCTATAGCTATCCCCTCGTCGTCGTCCTCCTCCTCCTCCTCTTCTTGGAGTTATCAGCTATGCTTTTCAACTCAAAGAGCACAAGATAACACTTAAAATTTCACAGCACTATTTTAATACATTGTGGCAACTCACCATGAAGAAGTTGAAGATAGCATTAAAAGAAAATGCATTTTAGTGTTTAGTAACTTAAGTGTAAAAGTTGAATTACACAATGTCATTTTTCATGTTTCTTAAGTGATTTTCCTTTCAGAACTGTACCAAATCCAATTGGTGGCCTAGCATCATAATCTGGACTGCTCCCCCGGCTGTCTCGGGAACGCAGGTTTTCCTGCTAGCTGTAGTCCATTCTTGCCTGATGGGGTTCCTATTCTGCTGTGTGATGCTTTGCTGCCTCACTTCAGCAGTACATGCCTTCCTGTTTAATAGAGTGCATTTCAGCTCCTACATTTTGCTTGACCCTCACTAGCTCTGGTTTCTTGCCTAGCTGGATCACTGTGCCCTGCTACCTAGCCTCAGCAATGCAGGTCTTCCTGATAGTTGTGTTCAGTTCCGGGATTTTGCCTGACCCTTGCCTTGCCATATGCTGCTTCGCCAAATTGATGAGTCCTGCTGTCTTGCCCGCCGTGCCACACCTTCACTGCTCCTGAATCCTGTCCAGTTGTCCTGCCTCAGGTACCAATTACCCTGGTCCCCGGTTCTTCAGTCCAGTTATCCTGAATCCCATCCAGTTATCCTGCCTCTGGTACCACTCACTACTCTTGTTTTCTTCTTGGTTCTTGGCCTTTGGCTTGTGACTGCATCCTTGTGTTGCCCTGCGATGTACTCCTGGTTTCAAACACCTGCCTGTTCCTTGACTACAACCCTGCCTCTGCCTTCAGTATTGGACTCTGGACTATGTTCAGACTCTTGCCTCAAATTCTGTTCCCTTGGTCCCAGTGCATCAGTCTTGAGCCTGTCCCCTGCACCGCAGACCCTGACACCTAGAAGGTGTGAGTCACATGTAAAGCAAGCAGTACTGCATCCTGGATTGCATCTAATTTCCCCTCACAGCATGTAACCCCTTGAGTGCCCTCAAAAACTGCTTCAGAGAGTTGTGTGACCATACAGATCAGATTTGCAGAGTAAAGAAGAAAGTGCACAGTGAAGAGGAAAGCAAAGTCCTGTTGTATACGTGGAAGTCTTCTCACACAACATGGGATTTCACATTTTCTGAAGACATGCTTTCTTAAGTAAATCTTAAAATGAAACTGTTTGTAACTACTCATTAAATTGCTGCACATATTACTTTGATCAATAATATCTTTATGAGCTTAAGGAAAAATATTTAAAATTGACTGCTATTTCATTCCAAAAGCTCAAGACTTGTTTTTTACAAAATAAAACCTGAAAAAACTAATTTGTTTTACAGTATTAGATGCTATGTTCAAGAGTGGAAATTACAAAAGCTATAGCCTTGGATTAAAAATATGCACATGTAGAAAAAAAACTTCTGCCTGTGTGGGTGGAGATGCACATTTTCCTGCTATTTCCATCTGCTGCACCCCAGTGAGCCACTAGGGAAATCTCCCCACTCAATGGGAGTGTAAATTGCAAACAAATGTGAAAAATCAGCAACTCCCTAAGCCAGGGGTCTCAAACTCAACTTACTTGGGGGCCGCTGGAAGTAGAGTCTGGGTGAGGCTGGGTCGTATCAAGTATTCCACCACCGCGGTGGTGGTGGGCTGCTCATCCGGAGGCCGGCCCGGGCGCCGCTGGTGCTTTGAAGGCCGCAGGTCCGCTTCCCCGTGCCCTGCCCGTCCCAGCAATTGGCCCGTGGGCCGTGAGTTTGAGACCCTTGCCCTAAGCACACACAGTGAACAGACGTGCCTTGGACCTCTGGATCTAACCAATATTGTTTTGCCTTTTATTTCCTTTTCTCTTCTGAAATGGAAGCAATTCTGACTTGTAACAAATATATACATATTCACTGAATGTGTGAAATCCTTGAGATATATTCAAATTGTTGGCATGGGCAACGTGCAGTCTCAAGTTATGCCAATGTATAAAATTTCCTGCTTATGCTACCATATCCAATGCCTCCTGCAGGTTATTCATTCTGATGCAAAAATGTACATATTGAACACAGATTGCATAAAATGTTGTCAAGAAATGAACACTCCTAGATCATGCATACTGACTGAAGGTGCACAATTCATTATTCTTAACACTAAAATGTGCATATTCACCATGATATTCAATATTTATACATATTCTCTAAGGAATTCGTTCATGGGTTGCATTTAGATCACCAAATCCTGGCTTAATGAAACAGGATGTACAAGAGTTCTATATAACCACACACAGTACACTGCTGCTGTTCTGCTCCTCTCTTCACTTGAGTTGGGAAAGAAGCCAAGAAAGCATTGTTAGCCACAGTTTCATATTATTCTAGTATTTATACTTCTCCCTCTTACAAGGAGCCTGATGCAACTTTTAAGTATCACCTCCTCTCCATTTTATCCTCACAACAACAACCCAGTGTGCTAGGCTGGGCTAAGAGCCTGTGACTGACCCAAGAGCATCCAGTGAGCCTTGGCGCTGAGCAGGGCCTACAACCCAGATCTCGAGAGTTCCAGTCCAACACTAACCATTACACCATGTTGTCTTATATCCAGTCAGTGAAACTATGGTTAACAGCTTCCAAAATATGAAGTTTGAAGCTGACTTCTGAATTATGGCTCAATTAGAAGCCATTAATCATAGTTCCTGATTTCTCCATAACAAGAAGCTATAATCAACTGGGTTTTCTTGCATGCACAAAGAGTAGAGCAAAGTGGTAGCAAAAGAGCTACCTGCCTCACTGAAACACAACTTTTAGCATGAGCAGATTTTTGCACTATGTACTAAACAGAGTAGTAAGTAACTCCATCCTTGGTTACTTCATTTGCTTGATTTTCACTTCAAACGTCCTGAAACCCAAGTCTACAATTATGTTTGAATTAGTTTTGAATTTAGTATGCCACCGACCATGAGCTGCTACTGCAGTTGATATAGCAGAGTGCAACACAGCACTCTTTTATTATCTGAAGACTGATTACATAGCATTTGAATCCCACTGCAATTGTGGACCATTAAAAGATGATTAAAGTGAATATGGCATGTCTAGTTTTTACTGTATGTGAAGAAGTTTGTACAGTAGTTAACACTTTCCTTGGAACAGCAGCAAGGGCGGCAATGGAGTGCTAGCCTGCTGTCCCTCAAATAATCTAATAGGCTCAAATGTACCTAAAGCATGTATACATTCTAGCAGCATTCAAAACTGCTCTCAGAGAACAATCATTTCACAGTACAGCCCAACAGAACTTGACCTTCCTAACATAAGTCAATGAAACAGACCTTCAAAATATGCTTTCTAGCGCATTGTACTGCAGAAGCAATTCAGGACTAGTTAAACTAGATTCTTACCATTTGCTGCACCAAGAAAAGCTTTGTTGCTACCACGTGCTTTATTAGTAAGGTCTTCTGTTATATCCATATGCCGATGAATTTCTTCACGCATTTCTTCTAGAGTTTTGCAGAGATCAGCTTCCCAGTAATCTTTGTCAAGGCATTCAATTAATTCTGCCAGCTGGACTTTTGTGCTATAGTACCAAATTTTCTTATCTTTCTCGCACTCTGAATCTTCTTCTCTGCAACAGTATTAAAATAATTGTTTATGAGAGAAGATGAGAATAAAATATATACAGCAATAGTATGGGGGGATAGGAAGAAACAAAATCCAAATCCAAGGTTCCAAGACCATTGTACGTTGCTTTATATTCAGCCCACACCAGTTATTACCTAGCTTGTAAAAAGGTTATTATGAACGGTTGATAAAAATTGCTTTCAAATGTGATTTACATAACAATGACCTGCTACCTTTGTTATTACAACATGGAAACCCTTTCCCACACTTAAATTGTGGTTTCTCAAACTATACCGTATATTCTAAAATAATATTACTACATTCTTATACAAAAAAGATTGTTGGTGAAGCACGTTCCACAAACATTAGAGTGGAATTATTATTTTAGGACGGATGGATAACACACAGCACTAGGATGTGATGTGATGTTCTGCTGTCTCTCACTTATGTGTGTCTCAGGCAGGCATATCTACAAATGTTCTCTAGAAAATTAATTTGTTCTCAGTAAAGACACCTCTAAAACAAACTACCCAGGTCTAATTATTGATGGATGAAACTATATTTCAACTCTGGTAAATCTGTCAATAATGCAGAGTATATGCAAAGTCACATATTGCTAAAAGACACTAGATTCATTGAACTAAAACAGCTGTTAAGAGGCAAGAAACTGTAAATGTTCAGTATGACATCAGGAATCTATGATCCTGTCTCTTAACATGCAGGAGATACCAGTTTAAATCCTGAGCTTAAAATATTTAGCAGCAAGTTGGAATGGGAAAAATGTTTGTCTGAAACCGTGGAAAGCCACTGCTAGTCAGAATAAATGAGGGACAGGTAATGTGGAGACCTCAGACACCACTGTGGACCTGGTCACCATTCTTAGTGCCTGCCACAGTGCTCTACCTCTGCCATTCATATTACAATATATTAACAAATTTTCTCACTGGCAATGGAAAAATGAAGGACTTTGGCTACTGCCATCTTCATTTCTATGAATGCTTCTGCACTCTGTGATGGAATTGAACACATTCTTTGGAAATGAAGATAGTGAGTGCCTGCAGACTGATGCTTTCCTCTGAAGCATAACCTGCAACCAAGAAAAAGAAAGGGGGAATATTCAAAAAGTGTGGGTTTCAAAAGTTTGTTTAGTGTGTTGTGGTTCAAAAATTGCAAGTCCATTTATCATGCTAGTTAAAAGAAGGATATTTCATTGCTCTTATTGTTCCCAAAGGAGAGATGCTCCAAGATGCATTTAAGTATAAATAATAGAGAGATTATTTTTACCAGCACTGTGGACATACGCCCTTTTTACTTCTTGGCTGCTCTGGTGCTATTTTCCCATTGTACCTCTTACCTGTAACTAACTTTTTGTAAATAGCTACTGCTTCTCTGGTACCCATTTTGCACATGTGCCCCTGATAGTTTCTCAAAATGTGTTTTTACCCAAACAAATTTTGAATACATTAGTAAAATAGCTAACTGAAAATGTTTGTGCCCTGTAGCTTTTGGGCCGAATTTTAAAAGTTGTTTCATCATCAAAGAATTTAAAGTGAGTCAGTTGCTCTGAAGTTGATTCCTGAAGCTGAGTGCATAAAGTGTTCAAATAAAAGATCTGAATAATCTGTTTCACTCTGGTACAAAACCAACCTAGTATGCAGAGCTTCCAGTGTGCAGGGCTTGACCGTGAAGCCCCACTGCTAAAATCCCCACTGTTATCTCCTGTATGTAACAGGAGATAATAGTTCAGATCGCTGTCCTTCTCAGCAAAACGAATGACAAAATGGGTGGGTCAGTGATGACAGTAAGTGCAGCCACACCTGCTGAATTCAGTCTCCACCTAAAACATGTTTGACACGTCCGCTTTAGTTGCTATTGTGGTTACCCATGAATGAAGCTTGAGCTTGGTTTAATTTATCAATTGAGAAGTCAGGCAAACTTTCCTCTCATTCTAAGTCATTCTGCATTATACAAGCTTATACAGCAAAGGCCAAATCGGTTCTAATTTTGTTGATTTTATATTTAGTACCATTCAACTGGCATGAGGAGCAGCTTCATAGGTTTCCAAAGGTTTTTAACTGCTGCTTTGATAAAACAATGTGTTTCCAAATTCTCATTCTCTTTTTCAAACACAAACACACACACCCCTAATCTCTTACTGATCCATGCTTTAAAAATGCCCCAAAACAGTATTTTGGGATGAAGCGATCGGAAAGTTAAATCCAACAAGTTCTCTGATTTCATCTTAAGAGAGTCTTAAGCAGCTTGTGACTAACTTAACAGTGACTGCACTAATGCTGAATTTGATACAACTGCGGGGCCAATCATACACTATTTCTTTGCAGTGATGTACCAGATAGAAGAAAATGATCTCAACTGCTTGCATCCAGAGTTTCTGTAGGTGGAACTATACTCACAGGATGCTCCTACTGGAAGAAAGGAGACAGCAATTTTGAAAAAGTCCTTCTTCCTACTTGCAGCATCCTGGGTCCCAATTAATATTCTGAAGGTTTGAAGGCAACAACATTCTCCCAGTGTTTTGTAGACATTTTGCCATTTTATAAGGTCATTAGAAACAATGAATGCATGTCAAATTAGGCAAGCTTGGCAGTTTCAAAGCTGTAGATGAGTAGTTAATCATTGTTCTTTGCATTACTAAAATTTATCAGTCTGTGCCTTTGCTTTTCCTTCTTAAGAATAAATAATGTAAAGAAAATGCACACTAATGTTCAATTTTTGTAAGCGTTTAAAACACTAAGTATTAGTTGTTCACATTGGGACTGCTTTCATTCCCCCCTCCCAATATTTCAGTTCAAATACCTGTGGTGTACTGGGACAAAAATTAACACAGAGTATTTATTTATATAAGTAAAATATAGATGGCATATTTGATTGCACTAGGGTGTCAGAAAATTTTCATAGGCAAACTGAAAAGCTTGATGCAATTTACTCTATGAAAACTTGCATATGAAAAATTCCCCAGTCAAATTTTTCAAGAAAATCCTCCAGTTAATGGATCTTCCAGAAACCTTATAGGAGATGAAATAAGCACTGCAGGAGAATTCAGCCAAAAATTGCCTTCCTTCTTTAATCCTGCATGAAGAACTTTGGATCTAATCCAATACAAGCAACTGTAACATACAAAAGGAGAGCACATTCCTTGACTATTGGATATAGTAATCACCATATGACAATCAAACAATGGTGTGGGGTGGAAAATGTTCCCCTGCTATATTTTCCCACAGGAAAATACAAATACCTAAACATTTATTTTCATTAAATGATGAAGAGAGCAATCTTTGGGACAGCATCCTTGGGACCATAAGACTGTTTAGAAGAATCCTTCCAAGCTCAAAGGCAGGACTAAGAGATCTGCCTCCCAGCCTTGTTTCAACAGAGTTCAGAGTTTCCAAGCAACATGGGCTCAATCAACAGATTTGTGCCCTAAGAAACCTAATAAATGGAGAAAAAATCCAAATGGGCAATTTCAAATTTGCCAATAACTATAATTTCTATAGATATTAACAAACCTGAAGCCTTTAGGAAAGGAACTGAAACACCAGAAACAAATGCATGAAGTTAAACAGAAAAGACACAATACACTGAGGAAGAAGAGGGTAGAATACATACTTTAAAAATATAGTACCAAGAAAGGCAAACAAATGAGAAATGCATGTAATGTGTACCACGGCGATAATGGTGTTGTTGTTGTTTTTTTCTAACACTATCCATGGAAACATTTCTACACCATGCATGTCTGCATTTATCCATAACTGTCTGCTACAAACAACCATGTTAGATGGGCTACACATAGGATATGAATTGCTGTAAGTTGTTCTTCTAAAGCAAGCTTTGACAAGCCCTAGTGATCCACTGTCCACGGGGAAATTAAAATTTCTTTAACTGAAAACTAAAATATTACACCCCCTTTAATTTTAGCTCCAGACTGGGTTTGCACCAGAATTTTACATCCTGTATATGCCCTCTATTGCTAACATTTGTCAAGTAACAAACTAAAGGAAATCTGAAATTGAAACTATTGTTTGTTTCCCTTTCCTCAGAGATGTGCCTCATTTCTGCTCTTAAACTCAGGAAGTTAGAAACATTTGCATAAGATATGTTCGTTGTCTATGCTTTTAACTATGTTGAGCTAAATCATAGTGCCAAAAAAGAAGGGCTTTGCTAGAATGAAACAATGAAGAAAGAAAGATTGTACATGTAAATACTGAGAGCAGGAGTATGTTGAACATGCAGCAAGACGGAAAGATGCATTCAACAACATGTGGAAACTGTCCTGCAAAAAATGTAAGATATATACCAGAAACTACTAGAAAGAAATGGCAAAACTCATTAAAGTTTTGGATTTTTTTCTGAAAATTTGCCAGTTCTATTTTTCTGGAAAATTCACATTAATGGTCTACGAATCATCTGGACAGTGAATTGACCAAACAGATGAGAAAGTCATTTTGCACTTTGAGAAATACACTCCTTGAGCGTAAAGGAAGTTAATAATTGTGCACTGGCCATTACAAAATGCAAACATATTTTCTTCCAAGTCTAAGTCCCACTTTTCAAATATTAACAAAACACTTGTCACAATGGTAGGTAGTGTATGTGAAAAGAACCTTGAGGTGTACAAGAGATTAAAATGCATCTGGGGGCTTTGGATACATACACAGTATGCACACACACCACCAGACCTCTAAAAGAATGACTGATAAGCTAAATCACATCCTCATGACCAGATAGTTCACTGAGTTAAAAGTAAAGCACTGCATTTGTGGGCTAATTAATATCCACCTGCTTCTAAGTTCCAAATAAAGTGGTTTGTTTGTTTGTTTCTATTATCATTTATATACTGTCTCACTTTCTAAAATTCTATCCCAGAGTACTATTAGAGGAGGAAGTATCCCATTTTTTTGTGACCATGGTATCTGGTCTGAGGCTAGTCCCTCCATTTAATTCGTACCAGTAACTGTAAACTGAGCAGACCAGGCTCTTCATTTG